GTTTTAAATGTCAGGGAAAAGGACACTATGCAAGGGAGTGCCCAAACCAACGAGTAATGATCCTCAAAGCCAACGGAGAATATGAATCACAAGATGAGGAAGACGAGAAGGAAGAATCTGAGGAAGACGTTGTGGATTATCCAGAAACAGGAGAAATTCTAGTTATTAGAAGGACTCTTAGCGCTCTATTTGATCCAGAGACGATTCAAAGAGAAAATATTTTCCATTCTCGCTGCTCCATAAACTCCAAGGTATGTAGTCTAATCATTGATGGTGGTTCATGTACTAACGTGGCTAGCAAGTATTTGGTTGATAAGCTAGGTCTCCCCAAGACAAAGCACCCCCACCCATATCGGCTTAAATGGCTCAATGATGAAACTGAACTAAGGATCTCTGAGCAAGTTACCATACCATTCACCATCGGCAAATATTCAGATCAAGTTGTATGTGATGTGGTTCCTATGCAAGCTGGTCACCTTCTTCTAGGACGACCATGGCAGTTCGATAAGGAGACTCTACACAATGGCCGAACCAACTACTACTCTTTCACTCACAACAACAAGAAACACTCTCTAGCTCCACTCACTCCTCAAGAAGTACATGAGATGCAACTGGCCATGTCAAAGGGAGCTAAGTCAAAGAAAACCAACCTTTACATAACACCTTCTACTGTTTTGAGATCAGTTAATTCACGAGACAAGGTGCTACTAATGGTCTTTAAGGAAGGTTTGTTTTCAGGTCAAGAAGAGAAAGATCTACCACCAGAAATACTTGAGCTACTAGAAAGGTTTAAGGAGGTCTTTCCCGAAGAGATACCACCTGGTCTACCACCAATAAGGGGAATTGAGCATCAGATTGATCTAGTTCTAGGAGCACCATTGCCTAATAGACCAGCCTATAGAGTTAATCCTGAAGAGGCAAAAGAGTTAGAAAAGCAAGTTCAGGATCTTATGTCAAAGGGATACATCCGCGAAAGTCTAAGTCCTTGTGCTGTCCCTGTTCTTCTAGTACCTAAGAAAGATGGAACTTGGAGAATGTGTGTGGACTGTCGTGCAATCAACAACATCACCGTCAAATATAGGCATCCCATTCCCAGACTTGATGACATGCTAGATGAGCTCAATGGAGCTACCATCTTCTCCAAAATTGATCTAAGAAGTGGATACCATCAGGTGAGAATGAAAGAAGGTGATGAATGGAAGACTGCTTTCAAGACTAAGCAAGGACTGTATGAGTGGTTAGTCATGCCATTTGGACTCACCAACGCCCCGAGCACCTTCATGAGGTTAATGAACCAAATTCTAAGGGAGTACATCTGTAAGTTTGTGGTTGTTTACTTTGATGATATCTTGATTTACAGCACATGTCTTGCAGATCATCTAAAGCATCTTGAAATGGTGATAAAAACACTTAAGACTGAGAACCTATATGCTAACTTTAAGAAATGCACATTTTGCACTGATCAAGTTGTGTTTCTAGGATTTGTTGTAAGCTCGCAGGGTTTGAAGGTTGATGAGGAAAAGATCAAGGCTATACAAGACTGGCCAACACCAACAACCATTGGGCATGTTAGGAGCTTCCACGGTCTAGCTAGCTTCTATAGAAGATTTGTGAAAGATTTCAGTACCATAGCTGCACCATTGACCTCGGTGATTAAGAAGAATGTGGAATTCAGATGGGGTCAAGCACAGGAGGATGCATTCAAATTACTCAAAGACAGCCTCACACATGCTCCTGTTTTGGTACTTCCTAACTTTGATAAAATGTTTGAGATTGAATGTGATGCTTCTGGTACAGGTTTAGGAGCTGTCTTAACTCAAGGAGGAAAACCAGTAGCATACTTCAGTGAGAAGCTTAATGGAGCTGCACTTAATTACCCTACCTATGATAAGGAGCTCTATGCTTTGGTAAGATCTCTTGAAACTTGGCAACATTATTTGCTGTCAAAAGAGTTTGTTATTCATACAGATCACGAGACGCTCAAGCACCTAAGAGGACAGACTACTCTCAAGAAGAGGCACGCAAGGTGGCTTGAATTTATAGAAACTTTTCCGTATGTGATCAAGTACAAGAAGGGCAAAGAGAATATTGTGGCTGATGCTTTATCTAGAAGACATGCTCTGATAAGCACTATGGAGGCTAAGGTCATGGGATTTGAACATATCAAAGGTCTATATGAAGAAGATCCAGATTTTAAAGAAGCCTTCAAGGAAACAAGCAAAGCTGCTTATGGGTCATTCTACCAACATGATGGATTTCTCTTTAAAGACAAAAGATTGTGCATTCCCCAAGGATCCATGAGAGAGCTGCTGATAAGTGAAGCACATGGAGGTGGACTTATGGGACATTTTGGACGTGACAAGACTCTAAGCGTTCTTATGGAACATTTCTTTTGGCCGCATTTGAGAAGAGATGTGGAAAGGTTCTGTTCAAAGTGCATCACTTGCTTGAAAGCAAAATCCAGGTCACATCCTTACGGTTTATATATGCCTTTGCCTATTCCTAACCTACCATGGGTAGATATTTCTATGGATTTTGTTCTAGGGCTGCCCAATGTCAACAATAAAGACTCTATTTTTGTTGTGGTGGATCGATTCTCTAAGATGGCTCATTTCATCCCATGCAACAAGACAAATGATGCTACTCAAACAGCTGATCTCTTTTTCAAAGAAGTTGTGCGTCTACATGGAATACCTAGAACCATTGTTTCAGACCGAGATACAAAATTTCTAAGCTACTTCTGGAAGACTTTATGGAAGAAGCTCGGAACCAAGCTGCTCTTCTCCACTACTTGTCATCCTCAAACAGATGGCCAAACTGAGGTAATTAATCGTACTCTCTCTACCTTATTGAGAGCTACGGTGGGTAAGAATCTTCGAAACTGGTTATCTTGTTTGCCTTACATTGAATTTGCTTATAATCATGCTAAGCATTCTGGAACCAAACTATCTCCATTTGAAGTTGTCTATGGCTTTAATCCTCTAACCCCACTGGATATTACACCTCTGCCCCAGCCTGTTTATTCTAGTGCAGAAGGAGTTACAAAAGCAGATTTTGTCAAGAAGCTTCATCAAAGGGTTAAAGAAAATCTTGAGAAGAAAAGTGAAAAGAACAAGGAGCATGCTGACAAGCACCGAAAGAAGCTGACATTTGAACCTGGAGATTGGGTCTGGTTACACATGAGAAAAGAAAGATTTCCAAAGGAGAGGAAGTCCAAACTTTCACCAAGAGGAGATGGACCATTTCGGGTCTTAGAAAAGATTAATGACAATGCCTACAAGATTGAACTTCCGGGTGAGTTAAACATTTCTCCTACCTTTAATGTTGCTGATTTATCTCCATTCCATGCAGATGAAATAGTTCTGGAGTCAGAACTTTCTCAAGAGGGAGGGAATGATGAGGACATCGAGACTATCCAAACTAACTCCGAGGAAGGATCCAGCAACATAACAACCATGGTTCAAGCACCAAGGACAAGATCAGGAACCAAACGTTTAAGGGAACAATTCAACAAGTCCATTGAAAGCTTGATTACACTCATAGAGCAAGAGGAACTCGAAGGAAGGTCATTCACTAAGGATATTATCCGAGAGGCACCCATTGAGCCTCAAATCAATCCAAACGTTTCAAAAGGTCAAGACTTGGAGAATGAACAAGACAACAACTATTTTGAGCAAGGAACATTCCAGGAAACCGAGATCATCAAAGATAAAGCTTGCGTGCAACTCAAGAATCAAACAGCTTCATTTCTACCGGTTTTACAAGGAATAAAGGAACCCGCTCTCTTCATCATTTCCAAAATCATTCAATGAAGGGCTGGAGCGTGCATGAGCAATACTTCCGAGGTAAGTGTTTGAATTCAAATAATAAATCGTTCTTTTCTTGTTTTGCAGGAATAAGACCGTTGGGTTTTATTGAGTCTTTTATTTGTCTTAGGTCCTAATTTCGAGTCTGTTGTTTTGCGAGTTTAGTCCTTTTTATTTGCAAGTTTAGTCCTTTTATTATGTAATAATTTCGACCCTAGAAGGTCCCCAGCTGCTGGACTATTATATAAAGTCCCTTCTCAGCTATGTATCTTTAACAAGTTTTATGAAATAAAATGAGAGTTTTCTTAGGTTAACTTCTGAGATAGAAGCAACCACGTTCTCCTTCTTCTTGTGTGAGAATCCTTGAAGATTGAGTCCAGACTCATCATAGATCCTTCCACAGATCTGTGTGGCGTCACTCACTCCACCCATCTACTCATCTCCATTTCTATTGAATCAGTTGAGAGTGACTTCAGTCCAGCAACTGACTCTTCATCTTCCCGCTTCGATTCCATCCTCCATTCACTAGGATCTGTTGAGAGTGACTTCAGTCCAGCAACAGCTTCACCATCTTTCACCCTTTATTCTAACCCGAGTAAGTCTGACGAGTCTGCCTGCATCATCCGACAAGTTTGCCTGTAACATCTTGTCAAATCTGCCGGTGTCATCTGACAAGTCTGCCTGTATCACAAGTCTGCCTGCATCATTTAGTTGGAGAACGTGAGTACCTTCGCTGTTTAGGAGGTGGATGGTGTGGGAGAGGTGTAGTTCGTTGTGTGAAAACAGTTCCTGGACTTATAGCAGTGATTCCAACGCGAAAAGCATCTTTGTTGGAAAACGTTAATTCTGCCTGTTTTGGGTGTCGACCGACACAAGTGATGTCGACCGACACTGGTGCTTGTGTCGACTGACACTAGTGGTGTGGTCGACAATGGTCCGTCTCGTCGAGTCTGGTGTTGACCGACACCCTGGTGGTGTCGATCGACACAGAGTCTGCAGCTCGAAATTCTGCACTGTTTCTGCAATGTGGTTCAGCAATCTGCAGCAATTTATCACCGATCTGTGCTTCATCCTGGATCCTAGTGCTGAACAGATGGTCACCACTCCAATCTTCAAGCTTAGAAGCTTGCATATTCACTTGCTTAGTAGAATCCAACTCTTTGACATATCCAACGGTAATGTCTGTGGAAGTTTCTACAGCAACAGAATGGGGCATCAAGTTGATGCTAGAGCCAAGATCAGAAAGAGAGTGAGGAAATTGTCCTGTGGATATGGAGCAATCTTGCACAAAGCTTCCTGGATCAGGTAACTTCTCTGGGTTGTTACACTAAATCATGGCACTGACCAATTCAGAGATAGCCACTGAGAGCCTCTTGTTCGGCTTCTTCTCTGGATCCTCATACACCAAGATAGCACTGATGTCTTTTGTAAGCAAGCTAACATCCTCAGCACTAATACCATTAGTAATCATCTTCTTGATATAATCTTGAAGTGGATCTTGGATCTTACACCAATCATCAAAAGGTAATGCACCTAGAAGCCAAACCAGCTTCAATCTGCATTCCTCATCCCGTCTCTCTTGCTCTGACTTCTTAGGTGGCCGTGGAAACACAAGAGCATATGGTGCAGTTCGTGTCCAGTGTCGATCGACACTAGGTGACTGTCGGTCGACACTACTGTCTGGCGTCGACTCCTCCGTGTCGAGCTCGCTCGATTCTGCTTCGTCAAACGTCGATTCTGCTTCTGTACCGGAGGAGTGTCGATCGACACCCAGGTGGTGTCGGTCGACACTAAGACTGCGTGTCGAGGGATCCTGTAAATCAGTGTCGAGGTAGGTCGATTCTGCTTCATCACAGTGTGATTTCTCGGATTTCAGTACTGGTGTCGGTCGACACTGCCTCTGCAACCACAAAATCAGCATCATTCTCTTCAACTGCAACGAATTCATCCTCACTTTTCTTCAAAACAACATGGCAAGTAGTCGTGAGGTTACTCTCAATCCTTCCAAGAGGGGATATCTCTAAGATTCTTTGCTGACTTTCCTGAATCTGTTCCGGCATTGATTCCATCTTACTCATAGAAGTAGGTGGAGATGGGGCTTGGTAAGAATAAGAATAGTAATTCCTGATGAAATTGTTCAGAAAAGCCATCTTTGTCTCCTGCCAAGTTGTCAAAGATCCCGGAATCAACTCCTTAAGCCAAGAAGCTGCTTCCCCAGCAAGAGAGTATGAGAAAAGTTTGCGATGTAAATAGTCCTCTGAAACAACCCGTGCCTTGATGATTGAAACCAAATCTTCAAACCTCTCGATGTGATCCATTGGTTGTTCATGTGGAAGACCGTGAAACGGGTGCTGACTCACAAGAGTATAGAATGCAGGTTGGAGACCTAAATCGTCGCTTCTTTCAAACGCAGTGGGTCTAATTGCACGCCGATTCTCATAGAACAGGCCGGGCCTGTTGTAGTCACCAAGAGTCATCTGACGACCATCTGCTCTGTTTACCCCATGGTGTCGAGCGACACCCAGCTGGTGTCGATCGACACCCTGTGCGATTTCAGGTATCACGTAGCCATGTTCATCAATTCTCTGACCATCCTCGTTGTATGCCTGACCACTTCTGTCACGTAACACTCCAGCAGCATCAGGTCTGAGTATCAGCATCATGTTGTTGCGTTCGAATTCCTTAAGCTCCTGTCACAAGAAAAGGAAGAAAAAGAACGCGTGAGTAACAAAAAAAATAAAAGCTTAGACAAAATTCTACACCTAATCTAATGGTGAAACAAAGAGAACGTCGGCAACGGCGCCAAATTTGATGTGAGTCAAATTAGACCTAAGACTACTCTCTCAAATAAGAGATCAATTGCAGTACTTGAGGGTCAAAATCCACAAAGCTCTCGTGTTCACACAATAGACTAACAGGTTTTGAATTAAGCTAAACAGACAATACTGTAAATTAAATAAAAGCAAGCAAGTAAAATTGGTTGTACATAGGCTTAGAGATTTCTCAGGACATAAACTAATAGTAAATCTAGCAAATTAATTAGGATTATTATCGAACCGTTCCAGAACTCAAATCACAGATATCAAATTTACCACCTCTCGAATGAATTAATTATCTATGCCTAACAATAGAAATTCCACCTCTCGATGTGAATTCCTAAAATTAAACAAGCATTAAAGTCCAAGTTTGATATGTTCACAAAAGTACTAAACCACCTCTCGATGCGAATAGTCCTTTTGCTCACCTAAGATTATTTCAGGAAATAGATGACCTCTCGAATCTACCTATCATCCTAAGATCAAATTCTAGGTGATCAAGCTAGAATTAGCATTAAGAACAACCTAAGGTGAAAAACTCTATAGATTCATCCTAACAGGTTATCGATCTACTAATTCATATAAATCCCTAATGAGAATCCCTAAACCTAACAAGAAAACTACTCAAACATGGAGATTGAAGCAAACAACATGATTGAAGTAGAAATCAATAATGAATATAACAAAAATAGGGTTTAGAAATATCTTCTCTAAAGGGAGTCTCCACAGGGTTTTGCTCCCAAGAACAGAATAGATAAGGAGAATAGCCTCTCCAAGCTTAGGTCTAAACAATGACCTTAAAAATATATATATAACTTCTAAAAACGTGCAGGGACTTCTTTGAAAATAGGGAGAAGTTCTGGGGTGAATCTGCAAATCTTCATAACTTCAATAAAACGCGTATTTGAATTGCCGTCAGATATTGGTGTCGCTCGACACCAGAAGTGGTGTCGATCGACACCTACGCAAATTTCGGTCTCCGGATTTCTTTTGCAGCATAAGTTCTCTGTTTTCCTCCAGAATGCTCCATAATCTCTAAATGCATCCCAAACATGTAAAAACCTGAAAAGGACTAGAAAAGACTCTACAAATATACCGGTTTTAAGTATGATACCGGTTTCTAGTCCTGTAAAAACCTGAAAAGGACTAGAAAAGACTTTAGAAATAACAAATAGACTCTAAAACCTATATCTAAATCATACTTAAAACCGGTAAAAATCGAGGTATATCAATCTTGCGTAAGGACCGTCAAATTTAGTGTGAACATATCAATGACCGTTTATACGATTGCATCATATATTTCAAGAGTATTTTTAAGAAACTTTCTGAGATGAATGCTCAAGTATATGCATTGCAGTCAGATGTGTTATGTTATGTCCACACATGTGTAGAAACATAGTCACACTCTCTTTACAAGCCATATTATATTGAATTCTCCAGCAATATACTTGATATATTTAGGCATTATCGTGGATGACCATTAATTCTTCCACAACAATGCCAAAATATGTTAAAGATAAATAAGACTTATGAGTTTCATATAATATATCTTTTAAAGAGAGTGAGACTGTTTTTCTATATATATATATATATGTGGACATAATATAACACAACGTACTCCAATACATATATTGGGCATTTATCTAAGACATTCTCTAAGAAATTTCATAAGTTAATTGATGCAATATAATTGATGGTCATTGATATGTTCACACCAAATCTGATAGGTTTTATGAAATTTCATCCAAAGTTGCAATTTGATAAGCGTTACTGCCCACACTTTAAAAGATTTATCAGTGAAGTTGATAGGACACATCTACCAATTATGGTTTATTGAGAAGATCAAAGAAGTTACTAAAATAGGCATCAAAACATAACCACAAACATTATGCGGCTTATACATTAAGTTACATATATTTATGTTGGTATTTCGGAGTTTGTAGATGATGCAAAAGTTCTCTCGCTTTTTATGGAAACGGATCCTAATTTTTCATCAACAATTACTTAGGATATTTGTTACTTAGGATATTTGTTAAGCCGTGAATTTATTTTTTCATATAGGGGAGATCGGTATTACCTAGATTTGTTCTACAACCAACCAACCATAGGAAAAATACTATAGATATATGTGTAATCATTTTAATGCATCACTTCGATCTACTATTTGAGCAAACTTTTCGAGTATAGAAAGCAAACTGGCAAGTTGTAAAGGAAGCTAGATAGAAAATTTATAATATGCTAGAAATAGTGGTTACGACCATGGTCTTACATAATTTTTTCGCTAGTCGAATCTTGGGGATTTTGATTTTTAATTTTAAAATTTTTTGAAGATGGTTGAAAAAAATAATAAATATTTAGGGTTACATTAATAATTTTTATAGCCAACAAGAAACCATGAAACTCTATCAAAATTAACAGTTAAATTCTTTCTTAATTCAAGTTAATTATGCTCTTAGAAGAACCTCTTTTATATGCCCATTATCACTCATGATCTACCATGTGCACAAAACTAATTGTGACAAATTCTGACAATTAGCTATGTTTGTTGTAAAAGAAAAATAACTAGCTATATTCACTAAATGTATATGACATCGTACATTATTATTAAAATAATCTCCATTGAGACTACTCATATATGTATACTGAAGTCACGTCTGTGAATAATTTGTTTTCGAGAAAAGACTCAGTTAAACTTTACAAGAGGAAATTCCCAAAAAAAGTCCAATTCATTTAATATTAGGTTGTTTAGCCGCGATACCCGCGGCTTATTGCATAATTGTTATGTTTTGTGTAAACAATAAAAAAAAGTTTTAGAAAATATAAAAATAAGACAAAATTACATATTATATAATAATTTCAATAAAAAAAACATTGTTATCACATATATTTTATATTTTAACTACAATCCAAAAGATAATTTTATCTTTTTTCTCTGTTTTCATATTTCACATAATTTAAGTTATAGTGATAGGTTTTTTGTTTTTTTACTACTAATTCGGATTACCAATCATATAACTGTTTTTTGGTAATTTTATTTTGCTGGAAAAATAATAATTTTAACTACAACCTTTTAAAAATATAAATATTGACATTTATAAAATTATATGTTAGATCACAAAATTAAATATATTTACTATGATTATATTAAAAAACGTAAAAAAAAAGAGGTTTCTTCTTACAAAATTTATTTCATTAAAAGATCACATAATTTTAGAAAATATATACATGAATATGTAAGGAAATAATCAAAACTCCATAATAGAGAATAAAAATGCTATCATTTCAAAAACAATTTTAAAATAATTTCTATAATTGTGTTTCAATATAAGTATAATTAGAAGAAATTTAAACGGCGCTTACGATTTGAATTTAGCCCTCTTTATGTCTTTAGCTCTCTTTTTTTCTCTAAAGCTAAAACTTAATTGCTTAGGAATTCTTTCTCTTGTTTGTGCTAATTTTTTCTCAAGCCTTAGCACCTTATTTATACTAAATAGGTCGAGACCATACAACAGGCCAATTTTCAATCCTAAAACTAATTGGAATGGACAATTTCTTTTTTCTTTATGGAATAGGAAATTGTCTTTTGTCTTCATGTTTCCTTTTCCTTCTATGAAAAGGAAACTCTTCAGTTTTCTAGAATCTTCTCCAAGCTTCTAGTATACATAGCCAACCGCCATAGACCGACTTGCTAATTTCCATATGTTTGCTTCACGTTGCTCTGTTTTTCTTGAACTACTTATTGAGGTACTTTGACTTAGTACAGAAACTCCCTCAGATGTTGCATCTTCAATACTTAGTGAGGCGATCCTCCCATTTACGAGGTATACACACAAGCAAATTAAGACCACAAACAACACATCAAACATGAACTAAAAACCAAACCAATGCACAGCCATGCCAACGACACAACCAACCCATGTACACAATTTGGACTCGTCAAAACTCCAACCTATACATCACAACAAACAAGTCACACAATCTCAACCGCTTAGATAAGCTCATGGTCATGCATTCACCTCAAATCAAGGATGATTCGAGAACAATAAATAACAATCCCACAACCACAAGTGACTTCCCACTCCTCAAGAGTAGTTCAACTCAACCTACAGCCCACTAAAACAACCTTCAACCTAAACTGGACAAATCTGAAAAAAAACAAAAACATAAACGATAAGCCTCAAAGATTGAGTCACGAATCGAAATATAACCGTCCACTTCCAATCTCCACCGTTGAAACTCAACCCATAGATGACCTGAAGCTACCCTTAAAGTTTCTTGATAATCTGACCGTAGGTTCACTCGCGATCTCACTATGAATACACGCTAGTCCAAATCGCCTCTGAAATAGAGCATCTCACGAAATAGCGGATAACTATTAGAATATTAACTCAAAACTAAATATGAAAATGGGGTAAATCTAGGTCTAAGTCCTAGCTACAACTCCATAAATTTCCGTAAACATTATAAACGATTTACTATGTCGAATCTCTTCTCTACCAAACCCTGACAGTTCTGTCTCCCTCTCTCTTTACCAATGCTTCAACCTCCTCCTCCTCCCTCACAAGCAAATAAAAACGCCCACCCTCTCTTCGCCAGCTGGGTGGCCACTAAAATTAGAGAAAAATTGATAGAATTTCTTGCGATTTAGCATTTAAATCAAACCAAAAAATTAGAATTAAATTGGAAGTTAATTAAACTCTCTCTTGGTTTTATATTAATTCAAAAATTCACCTTTTTTTCTTAACCCAAAAATTGGAATTAATCCACACCACTCCAATTCTCGACATAAACTTAAATCTTCTATTTTTTCTGGGACCCGGGCGTTACAAGTTCTACACTTGTACTGAAAGGAGCGTACTTAAAAAGTTAAAACTACCCATGGACATGTATTCACATTCAACAAAGAGAGCTTTTTAATTTCCTAATAAAATTAACAAATTGTGGCCCAAATTTTTTTGTTCCTTTTCCATATATTATATTTTACCATTTAGAGTCCCATAGAATGAAAAAGAGAAGGTGATAGAAAGGGAGTTTTGTCTAACTAAACTATAAGAACAAATCAATGGATATACTCTTTGTTTTACGAATTAATTATGTGAAAACCACACAAAAGTAAAAAATCTTTTACGATATGAAACATCTAGAAAGGATTTACACATATAAGCACTCTTCCCTTTGTAAAATGACGATTTTACCCTTATCACCATAACTCATAAAATTAACAACATAATTTGTTATCTGATTGTTGAATTCTCTCGACATGTGATTACAAATGGCAACGATAATGAAGAAGTCCGACGATGACATCGCTTGGATGGTGGTGCGAAGCAAAGACGGTAACCAAGGCCGTACTACTATTAGAAGAAAATAAACATTTGCTTAGGGCAACAAATTTTGAAAAACAATTTAGTGGCATAAAATTATTCTTAATATATATATATATATATATATATATATATATTTATATATATATATATATATATATGTATATTTATATGAAGCAAATATTGGGTTTCAACAACCCATCAACATGGTCACATGGACTTAATTAATTCATTAGAAAAAACAAACGATTTACTTAAAATAAATAAAGTGTTGAAGCGAAGGTTATTAAATACAAATCGTCTACAAATAAAAAACAATTAGGGTAAAAAAGAGATGATGTTTGTTCTCTCGTTAGTCTTTGCCTCTTTTGTTAAAACTGATTAAACAAAACTTTCTCTCAAGTTTCAACGTATCTCTCGCCAAATCAATTCTGTTAAGGTAAAATTATTCAAGTTTTTACTTTTCTTATACGATTTAATCTGTTTTTCTAAACAATTTTATCCAATTTATTTTTAAAATTGTAAGTAATCTATTAATTGTTGTTGCTTGTAACGGTGTAAAATTTATTTCTAAAATTGTAAAATTGTAAGTAATCGACTTGGCTATCTTATCGAATTGGTTAGATACCTTGATTTTGAAAGTTTGGTTAACGATTTTATGGAAAAAAGGGAAGAAAAATGTTTTCGAACTAAGTTTTTGTTTGTTAGTTTTAGTTCTTTTATTACTTGATAAAAACCCACGCTACGCGGCGGGATATATTTTTATTATAAAATAAATTTATTTCAATATCAATATAAGTATGATTGGAAAAAATTTCAAAAAGCTCTTAAGATTTGATATTTTGCATTTATATATTATTTTTACAAAATAAATTATTGATATAAACTGACACATAATTTATTTGTTTGTTGATATAAATTCATACATAGTAGTTCAAATTCATATTATTTTGTAAGTGACAAACTAAATTTGTTTTCTTATAAAATCATATGAACTACAATCTTAAGATACAAAAACAAAACCCCCAAGGATAACTTCCATTTCTTTTTTGTTTAAATTTTAATTTCACTCATCAATATAAATTCTAGTGCTAAATTTAATACTAATGGTTTCATCTTTATAGGATTTAATAAAATAATTTTTGTTCATTTATAGATTTTTTTTTCTATATATCACTCCATTTAAGTATATATTATTGCTAGGTTTCATTATAATGATTTTGTTCTATTTTTTTTATTCTAAATAATTTAATTTTCATGAAACATATGTTTTAATTTTTTAAAATCTTAAGGACCAAACTTTTTTAATGAAGCTCTTTTTATTTTCGAAAAAAACTTTAACCTCAAATTTTTAAATAAAACTAATATTATAACGATCTATTTATAATTATCTATTGGATCACAAAACTTAAATTTAATGATACATATATTAAAAGTGAATTACCATAATTTATTTGAGATAAGAAAGAGGTAAGAAAATTTTATTTGATAAATGTACTACAATAATTTATTTTATTAAATATTACATAATTAAAAAAAATACATGAATATGTTAGAAAATAATCAAACACAAAAAAGTAGAAAATGAAGATGCATCTTTTCAACTTCATTTTCTTATTAGGCTAAATTTGGCTTTTTGGTAAAGGGTTTCAATTTAAAATCTATTACCGAGTAGTTTTGTCTTAGTAATTGAAGATATGATCATTGTCATTCAAGTTCTTCTAGTGGAGATTTGTTCCAGGTAATCTATGTAATGATTCCAAGAAAAAAAAAAAAAGAGAGTAGAAAACCTTGAAGAAGATGGGAAAATGCAGAAAGAGAAGCTAGCAAGAATGTTTATAGCAGATTTTTTTTTTTTTTTTGCAATGGGATTCAAATTTTGATACGGATTGGTTGTTCTTTGTTCAGGAATCAACAAATTCAAGTATAAAATTGTGATTATATGATCTTGGAGAGGGCAACTGAAGCTTGAAAAATGATAAATATTTTTTGCATTTCTCTTTTTTTTTTTTTTTTTTTTTTGAACTAAACTTTTTTTTTTTTTTTGCATTTCTCTATTATATAAAATATTGTATAATTTTTCATTATTTTTCTGATTTCAGGTAAACAACCATACAAAAGCTACAATCGATTTTTTTTAGTGTAATGTTGTGAGTTGTAAATAAAGATGTATTTTATTTGAAGACAATTATGTGTATATAAACATGTCGTTTGTCAACCGTTCTGACTTTAAACTTGGCGTTGTTTATTGAAGAGTCGTTTTTGAAACTGATGCTGATATGTTTGTTTCGGTTTATAACCGACGTTAGATGCTTTCTTTCTTGTAGTAATTTTCAAAAATTTGGAAACCTTTCATAAGTGTCTAAGATATAAAGTGATTTTCTAAGTTTGCCCAAAAAAAAAAAAGTGATTTTCAAATATGCCTTTGATTAAAAAAAAGGTAGTATTATAGTAGATGTCTAGAAAAGAAATAAATACTTATTATAAATTTGTCATAAATATTTTCTTTTTTATTCCATGGCATTTATTACAACACTCAATCACCAATCATTAGAGGGTGTTTTTGACAACAACATCTCTTAGGCTGGTTAGGAGAAGGAGAAGCACACAACCCACTTACATAACCTTCTATTGTACAGTCAGTTAAACATTCATGCCATGCGTAATAATCCGTACACAACGTATCGCAGTGATCGAATGAGGTTTTCTCACCTACACAAACTCACATACAAAGATTTTTTTGTCAAAAATCACAAACCAACATATATATTAACTGTAATAAAAACATAGTAATTACAAATTCTACATGTTTAGCTATTGTTTTTTAAAGGATCCATACTAGGTTAAAACTATATCAAAATTTAAACATACCTGAAACCAAAATGTTCTGGTTGGACAACAGAACTGTAAATACTACTACAAGAAAACAAGTCACAATAGCTTTTGAAATACCCATAATAATAATATTTTTTTGTAGAGAGAGGTTCTATTTATAAAGCTTTGGTCTTGCAAAATCTCTTACTATTGATTGATTTTCCATATTTGTGACAAATAACATTTAATATTTTGACCGTAAGATCCTTGACATTTATTAATTTTTTTTGCTTGTATCATAATGGACTATATATGGTCGCAAATCAAAGTAAAAGTTTCAAAAAGTCTTGAAACTTTTGAATTTGGTTAAAGAGGATTTTTTCTTATAATATCATTATGGTCAATAAAATATATTAAGTAAACGCAATATTTCATTGCTAATTCTTTTTATTTACAGCAAAATAATGTCATCCATTTAAGCTAGAAACGGGCGGTTTTCTTTAGGAGAAAATCAGTTCGGAGTTGAGGAGCTTACATGGAAAAAAATAGAATCTCGTGCTCTTGCCTTCTTAGCGAGGCAATCGGTACGGACATTATTTAAGCGAGGAATAAAAACTAACGAAAACAGAGGGAAACCAAGTTTTAAAACATTAAAATCTTCTAACTCCGAAGCAAAAGCGGGCCACTCATTCGAAGTGTCCAAAAACTGAGTTAGCTCCTTGCAATCTGTCTCAAAAGCAACATTAAAAATAGATAATGACGTGAGAGATCTCATTGCCCAGAGAAGTGCTTCAAACTCTGTGTGAAGAGGGGATAAACATTGGCGAAGATATTTTAGTCCAAGATGAGAAAAATGACGATCAGAGCTAAGAATCCAGCCAATGTCGAGATGCACCACATCTGGCACATCCTGTGTCACAATCAATACCTCTTTTCGCAAATTCTCTGTAACCGGTACACAATCCGTTAAGATTTGCCATAAGAAATGGCATACATTAGGTGGACACTGCACTTGCCAAGAGTGGACTTTTAGCGGTTTGATGTCCGGACCAATAAAAGATAAATTGGTCTAAAGAGTTTATAACGTTTGATTTTCTAAAGAGTTTATAACGTCACTATAATGTTATTTGCCTTTGATTAAAAAACATTTTTATCATAAATAGTTTTTTTTGGTTTTATTTTCATAAATTCCATAGGATTTTTTTTACAACACTCGAATCATCAATCATTCATTATAGCAAAGATTATGTGTTTTTTTTTTCTTTTAATAAAAGATTACGTTTGACAACAACATCTCTTAGGCTCTTTAGGAGAACGAGAAGCACATATCCCAGTTGCCCAGCCTTCATTATTACAGTCAGTTAAACATTCATGCCATCCGTAATAAGGTGTACACAACGTATCGCAGTGGTCATATGAGATTTTTTCCATCACTTCACCTACACAAACCAACATACATAGATTTTTTTTAAGATCACAAACCAACATACATATTAACTGTAATAAAAACATAGTAATTACAAATTCTACATGTTTAGCTATTGCTTTTATAATGATCCATACTAATTTTAATTAAACTAGATCAAAATTTAAACATACCTAAAACCAAAACATTGTGGTTGCACAACGAAACTAGAAATATTATTACAAGAAAACAAGGCACAATAGTTTTTGTAATACCCATAATAAACAAATTTTTCTATGAAACTTATAAAATATAGTAGACAGGAAGTTCAATTTATAAAGCTTTTGGTCTTGCAAAATCTCTTACTATTAATTAATTTTCCATATTTGTGAAAAAAGCATTTAGTATTTTGACAAAAAGATCATTGACATTTATTTATATCGTCGCAAATCAAAGTAAGAGTTTAAAAAGTTTTTAAATTGCATTTGGTTAAAAAGGAATTTTTTCATATATTATCATTATGGTAAAAAAAAATATTAAACAAATGCAAGATTTCATTGCTAACCCTAATTCATTGTTGGAAGTTTTTTTTTTTAATTAAGCAGTGGTCTTTAACAAAATAATAGTAATAATTAGGTAGTGCTGTATATGGTATAAATTTTGATTTCTTAATTGATTTAAAATTTTAAATCCCGAGATATGCAAATTGTTGGCTGATGATGTGGCACAAATAGTTATGATTTGTAGAAATTTAATATCAAGATTGACTGAAAAAATTAGTTATAACAGAAAAAAAAAAACACTAAAACAATTTGACTTCTATTTTAACTAGGTCATGGTCCGCGCATATGCTCGAGTTGTTATAAAATTATTTATGTTAGATAATGTAAATTTATTTAATAATAATTTAAAAATAGAAAAAAAAAATAAGTTTCCTAAATGTCAATAATATTTTCTACACTTATATTTATTCAAATTATATAATATAAAAATATATCTTATTTAATATAATAATACATAGAAATCTCATGAAATTTATTCGTTTTTATATTGTTCAACTATAATAATAATTTTATTTAGTATTTTTGAGCATTCGAGGTAAAATAAATATTATTAGTAATAAAAATGAAACTTTACAATGATATTCAAATATTTAGGAGGGGTTATTGGTTCATGGATTTATAAGGAATTAGAAATCCAAACAAAAATCATTTGTTATTCAATCATTGATTTTAAAATCTTAATTAAAATCATGTGTTATTGGTTCTATGAATTATAAATACTAGTTGAAATCCTTTGTTATTCGTTTAATCATTTGTTTTTGGATTTGAGAATCCAAATTATGTTTTAAATGGATTTGAATGGAATTGAAAGAGAAAAATAGAAGGATTCAAATCCATAGGTAAACACATGTTATTTCAAAATCCATATATCTTGATTTCATAATTAATAGTGGTTTTCAAATTCTATATGGATTTACAAATTAATAAACCAATAACACCCCCTTAGTCTAAGTTGTTGATAGAAACTAACACATAACCTAACGTATTTTTCAAATTATTTTGTAAATAACAAATTAAATATATTTCCTATAAAATCATATGAAGTGCAATCAAAAGCTTAAAAAAAATCCCAAAGATTACTTTCATTTTTTAATCTCTTTTTATATTCCCCTTAATTTAAGTTATATTGCTAGGTTTAATTCTAATGATTTCATCTTTGTAGTACAAGTTAGATTGGAAATGGAATATCAAATTTTTTTATATGTATAGAAAAATCCTTACACTACAAAATTTGAATTAAATAATTTTTTATGATCTTTATATAATTATATGTTGAATCAAAAGAGCTAAATATAATGATGAGTATACTAAAAAAATGTCTTACAATATTTTTGGATGTAAGAGAGAGTTAAAGAATATTAATTTGATAATTGTATTACAAAATATTATTTCGTGAAAACATTGCATACTTTTAAAAATAAAATAAATATACATAAATATGTAAGAAATAATCAAACATCCAAAGTTAAAAAAATGAAGAGAGTTTTCTTTAGCTTGATTTCCTTATTGTGCGATGGTCGGAATTAATATTTTTGAATCTGCATCAATAAGGTAATTTTATCATAGCTATCAAAATTATATTATACATATATAATTTTAAATTAAAATATTATAAAAAAAGCAAAGAAGGAAAGAAGGAGTACATAAATACAACGAATAAATAAAATTAAAAATTATGTAAGATATATATTAAACAAAATATATAATTAAACTCTTACAATAATATCTTAATTGAGTTTTCAACCCATGCAAAAACATAAACAAAAAAAAGAAAATATTTAGCATTTGGGACATGGTGGAGGAGGATGTGAGAATGATTATTTATAGGAAAAGAAGTGATTGAAGTTATATTTCTAAAATAATTAGATTATAGGAGTTACAATTATAATTATAGTGTGTTTAAATGACAATGAATAGAGAAAAAAATAGTCAATTCACAATTATGTAATTTTAATTACAATTTAGTAGTAAAGTGTGGATTTAAAGTATGAATTAATGCATATGATTAAATGTGTTACATTTTAAGTTTAATTGAAAATAAATATTATATTTTAAAATAAATTGCCAAGTGGACCAATAAAGAGAGATTGAAACCCTTGAATAATTTTAACTATTCATCACCAATAAACCTAAAAGTTTGTTATAGTCATCAAAATTTTTATTTTATATATGTGAATTTAAATTAAAAGTATGAAAACTAAAGAAGAAATATGTATAATGGCGTTAGAAATAAACTAAAATTTGAAGAGAATGTTAGATATATATCATACTTTCTAAAATAAATTTAAAATCAAATCCTTACGATGATGTTTCCTTTGATTTTGAACCCATATAACAACATAAAAAATGGATACATGAATATAGTGGAAGAAGATGAGAGAATGATTACTTATAAGATGATAATCTAAAATAGAATATGGATATAAATCTTATAAAAAATGTAAGATATATACATCATATAGAATTAAGCTTTACAATGATATTTAAAGTGATTTTTTTTAACCCATGCAACAACAACACAAAAAAAAAAAGTTAAACAAAACAAAAGAAAAGTAAAGATTTGAGATATAGTAGAAGAGGATGATAGAATGAGAAAATAAGAGAATGAGTATTTATAAGATGAAAAGTTATGGGAGTTACAATTTAGAAAATAAATAGTGGGCCGGAGTTACAATGTTAATTTATTGTGTGTTGAATACAATTGAGTGGAGAAATATAGTAAATGCATGATATAAATGATTTGTATGACTTAAATGTATATAACTAAATATGTTATTTGTGATTTAATTAGAAATAATATTTTTTTTAAGTTACATTGACAAATAGACCAATAAAAAAAGAGTGAAACATTATTTTTATATATATGATTTTTCGTTTTTATCGCTTCAGATTAAATAAGACGCAAGAGAACGACGACAAGATCTCGAGTGCCAAAGGCAGTGACGATGGTGAGCTTTGGCGAGTCTACGACTATGACGGTTTAGACTGCAAGGAGAAGCGGGGGTGGTGGCTGGCTTACATATCGAGATGTGATCACATCTCGATGAAGATGAAAAATTCCCCTCATAATTCTCACTGATGTCATTGAGATCTTCAATTTTGAAAGTTCAGGAAAACAAAAAACGAGATTTTAAGCTTCTCAATTTCCAATCGTTTGGTATTCCCCTCGGGTTCACTATGAACTAGTTCCTTTAGGGTGTAGTTTTTGTGAATCACTCTCATTGCAAATGTTAATTCTCAAATATTAGGCCTAACAAGTGCCCATTTAAACAATAAACCCTTGTTTTACTCATACATGTGCCATATTTTTTGTTTATGCTCTATCATCTTACAAATTCACCATAATCTTAAAAGTGTTTTGTTAAAAGCATATTTGCTATATGAGCTTATCAACAACATTTCTAAGAAGACTCTCTTCTTGTCAAAGCCTCTTCTTCCATGTTCTTGGTGATTACCTCTAGTGCTTTCTCATACTTCATCACCAAATCATCTAAAGACAATCCTCTCACTGGATCAACGGTGAAACTCCACTCTATCACGCAACCATCAACGTCTCCATCTTCACCATGTGGCGATATCTTAACTGTCGAAACGTAGGATTCGAATCCAATGTTACTCTCCACTATCTCGTATCTCATCACACGTTCAACAGGATCAACGGCCACCAGCTTCTCCTTAGACCATCCCGCGGCGGATTCTACACTGTTGGATCGTATGGAGGAGCTAGAGCAGAATCTGATGCAGCCGGGCTCACTGTTGTTGCCGTGGACGCCGTGACACGTGCCTAAGGTGGGAAGCCACTTGTGGAGGTTGAAGAAATCGGTGAAGAGAAGCCAGATTTGGTCAGGCTTTGCCTTTGTGAGAGTAGTTGACACTTTGGCTTGCCATTTTTCAGGACTTGAAGCTTTTTCCATGTCAAAGAGAGAGGATCTAGATATGAAAATAAGATATGTATAGTGTTTTTGTTATGAGTCTTGTGACATTTATGTAAAAATCTCATATATAGACTATTTGTTTTACCATGGAATTATGTATAAACAATTTGGAGAAGGAAAGTTGATTACGTACCTTAATTAAAGGTTGATGCCAGAAGTACCTGTTTTTGATATTGATGATTTTGCCAAGTGTTATCATTATCACTTCTTGGGAATATGAAAGATAGTGGTAACAATGAAACACCATGTGCATGTATTATGGTAATTTTTCTCAGAGTTTTTATTTATTTATAAGTGTTAATGGTTTTTGGCAGTTTTTAAAATTTTGCTAAATGTGAGACTGAAGATACTAGTAAATAAAATAAAAAGGCATTAGTTGAAAATTTGTGATTTGTTTCTTAAACAATTATTTATTCTAAAATCCTCTTCAATTACAGAAATATAAATCGATTTAAAATAACAATATAAAATGTTCCAATTTATGGATTTTAAAGACATTGTTATAGTAGTCTTCGAAGTAATTATGTAACGTTTTAAAAATATCATAGTTAAAGATAAATTTTAGCTATTAAAAATCAGCTAATCATAATTTAACATGTAACATCAATGCACATTAAGAAACTGTTAGAAGAGTTAATCTCTTGCATGAAGAGATTCCCAGTTTCCCACAATGGTTCTTCAAGGAGATCTGCAATCGAGTAAGCATGAAGATCAGACTATTTACACATATACAACTAATGACATGACATAATGAGTATATTTCTCGATGAGGGAGTAGAGAGACATCATTATGCCAACTTACACAAGCGATACTTTGGTGGTATGTTATGGTAGTCTAGAGCCGTAGAATCTATTATGTACTTAGTTCATGTAGGTAGTCGACATGTGAGCAACCCTTAAACCACATATTCCTAAATAGGGATATTAATGCATTCATATAGTAATATATATGTAATCTATTTTTTCTAACCCTTTTTCGACCATCCTTAACTTGAGCATTAAATTGTTTTTGAGAAGTGTTCCTCCTTCAAATGCTTCCTGAGACCTAGATGGTTCCTTCATTGACACAATTATATGATCTACTCTCTAGCAATTGCGCAATGCATGACAGTTTCGAAGACCAGCATAGAATGGCTTAACCAAAATGTTTGTTGAACATTTTAGCACTGCAAGGAGAAAATTATTGAGTCATTCTGCTAAGGAGAACACCGTATGTCGGCTAAAGTCTCCAAAAAAATAGTGACATCGCCCTTTCCACCTTGTCGGGATCCCACCAAAGCGAGGTCAGGGTCTGCAAAAGAAAATCAATTGTTGTGGAAGAGTTCTTTTATCTTCTGGAACCGAGGCATAACCGACCAAACCTCATTAAATACTCTAGAGAAGGACTACAAGAAGCCCGGTGATGGAACCAAATGAAGCAACCCAAGTTCTCATAGAATGTTGGATCCGAACATATCCACTTCTACAAGAGGGAACATGTCGAAGGCTTTCATAGAGCCTAACTTGTAGCCTTGTAGGGATCTCTATATCTTCCTATGTTTTAAGAGAGTCTTCATATGTCAACCAATCTACCCCCTCTCACCTATCAAAAGGAACCTTTGCATGCGAGGAGGAGGAGACAAAGGTCGGATCTTCTTCGTTAGTTTTTGTAGAAGCAATAAAATTCGAATAAAAATTAGTTTTCGCAAACTTAATTTGGCCAAACAACCAAACGAGACCGTGAATAAAGGTAAAGCAAAGAGCCGGAGATTTACCATTGACAAAGAAGGTAAAAAAGAATGTAGATGTGTGACAATGTTGAGGTAAAATCATTTTCTTTTTTACTAGAAGCCCTAGGGCAAAGTTACATTCAAAGTCACAAACAAAGAAGCAAAAAAAAGGAAGACAAGAAAGTAGACGGGAAAGTGACTTAAAGGCCTATCTAAGACTAATATTCCTAAGGGGCTCTATCATGATATTAGCAAAGAGAGTGAATGGAACGTGGGAGGAGGAAGTACATGAAGCCAAGTAGCCAACGCCTGCCACAAGGTGGTGCATTGAGAGCCCGACTTTGTGAGAGGAGCAGGGAGCCCAATCACAAGCTTCCTATAAAATAATTGAAATTATTCGAGATTTTATTTATCAATACAAATGCCTTTAAAATGTGTTTACTAATGGCTACTATAGAATTTTTTTTAGTTTTTTTCAAATATTACTTGTCATACGTGCTACTTTGTACACAGATGTAAATTTAAAGGTATTATCCTTCGTTTTTGCAAAAGTTACAGTACAACCCATCTTCACATAATCTCTTAATTGGTTTAATACTCATATCATGGACAAATCTTTTAGTATCTCCTATGTATTGAAAAACATGGCATTAATGTGGTAAGTCGATTCAGTGACAGGAAAACTTCCGCAACTTGTTTAACAAAATTTTGACCTCATCACATGCATGGCGCAATATGAACACCTCTTTAAAACACGAACAGAAGCTGATTCAACATTCCAGTGGATGAATATATATTCACCAAAAGCTTTCATGATGATTTAACCCAAAAACAAGATCATGGTGAGGAAATCTTGACGAACACTCGAATCCTAACATTTTGCCGTAATCATTCAGTCTAAATAAAATGATCTTTTTCCATAGCCGAGAAGAGATAATATTAAGAGTTAAACTTGAAATGCAACCTACCATTTCCATATCTTATCAATGAAACCATCCTTAGAAATCTCACACATGGGGCATAAGAACAATAAATGCTTTTGAGCAATGCGCTTGAGTTGTCTTATATTGACATAGAATCCAAAACAATTATTTTGATTGGAACCATCATAAACAATTATGGATCCCAACAAAATCTTCGAGAGCCTAATAATTTCTTGCAGTATTAACTATAATAACTTGTTGAATAAGTATGATTCACAAATAAGATATGGAATCAATTGTAACGTTAACTTTATATACAAAGAAGGATGAGAAAGAGGATATCCAAACTCCCATCATAATGCTGATCGAAACAAAGTTAGGACTTGACAACCATTAGGCACCATTCTATTGATCAATTCGATTCGCGCCAAATTTTAAATAAAATCAACAAACAATTTTGTCGCTAATTATCCTAGTTTTAAAAACTTAACGTTTCTCCTATGCAAGATCAAAAATGAAAAAAAGATATTTCAATTCTCTTTTTAGCCAGCGATTTATTATTCTATAGATGAATTCGATTCGCGCCAAATTTTGAAAAAAATCAACCCAAATTTTCGTTGATATTCATCCTAGTTTTGAAAATTTAACATTTCTCATATACAAGATAAAAAAAGATATCTCATTTCTCTTTTCTCTTTTGGTCGGCGATTTACTATCCGTTGATGAATTCGATTCGCGCCAAATTTTGAATAAAATCAACCTAAATCTTCGTCGATATTCATCCCAAAGTTTTGAAAACATAACACTTCTCCTTTGCAAAATCAAAAAAGAAAACAAGATATCTCATTTCTCCTTTTAACCGCCGATTTAAATCGCCGACCAACATTTCCGTCGGCGTTTTGAAAAAACGTTTAGAAAGCAAACCATTCCAACAAAAAAATAAACTTGTTTACCACCCGTTCAAGACACTCAGATTTGGTCAATAAAAAATTTATATATTGCAGATTTGATAAATCCAAGTTATTCATGTCCAAAGTCCATACTATTAGATAAAAGAAAAAAACATTAAAAACCCATAGATTCAAGGGTGTGTGAAGAAACAGAACAAAAAAACCTCATAAATAAGAAGATCCCTTAAGTAGGTAAAAAAATCAGAGTCTTTAGATTCTTCGATTGCCAAGTCTTATAAATCCCCAAAATCTCTCTACCCATTTGGATTTTGCAGCTCTCAGATTCATCTTCTTGATCTCTCTCTTCGTTATCTTCAATTCACGAAGATTGTATCATCCATCAGATGGTTCTGGAAGCTTCTTTCTTTCTCAGTGAGTTCGATCGTTCCATGGACCAGACGTACGATGCCTGAGCTGCGTAGCAACGCACGCAGAGATCGGGCTAATAAGAACCCGAAGCCGAACCAGAAGAACCCAATTGCTTTGAAACAATCACCAGTTAGGAGAAACCCGAGGCGGCAGAAGAAGAAAGAGGTGGTGAAGGAGACGATCGTAGAAGCAGAAAAGGCGACGCCTTTGGTGAAAGAAGAAGAAGAGATTAGGGTTTCGAGAGAAGATAAGAAGATGGATGAAAACGATAGTGGTGGTCAAGCAGCTCCAGTGCCTGATGATGAAGGAAACACTCCTCCACTTCCTGAAAAGGTGTAAACTTTATTGTTGGTTTTGTTGTTTCTAGTTCATGGGAATTGTCTCTTGCATTGTGTGTTGTGTTTTTGATTAGGGCATGTCTCTAAAGTTTTAAACTTTCTCTTGTATGATGATTTGATTATTGACTCATTGGTTTTACAGGTTTCGGTTGGTGGTTCCCCCATGTACAAGTTAGATAGAAAGCTAGGGAAAGGAGGTTTTGGACAAGTTTATGTTGGTCGAAAGATGGGCACGAGCACTTCTAATGCTAGATTTGGCCCAGGAGCTTTGGAGGTTTGCTGTTTGTGTTTGCAAATTTACTTGCTTTCTTTTGATTTCGTATGGCTTGTAATGTAATTTTGATGAGTTTACTTTTGTAGGTGGCTTTGAAGTTTGAGCATAGAACCAGCAAAGGGTGTAACTATGGGCCACCGTATGAGTGGCAAGTTTACAAGTGAGCGCTTTGGTTTCTGGTGTTTTGTTCTAGGATTCTTCTTCTGCTTGTCCAAATAGTTTGTTTATAAAAGGATGAGATAACTAATTTATGTTTTATCATCTGTTTTGTCCAGTGCACTTGGTGGCAGTCATGGTGTGCCACGAGTTCATTTTAAAGGTCGGCAAGGCGATTTTTACGTGATGGTATGTTGACTTTAGCTGGGTTTGAACAAGAGCAGTTTCTGTTCATAGCTACTTGCAGTATGACTAATTACTGTTTTTAATCTTTCATACAGGTTATGGATATTCTTGGGCCTAGCTTATGGGATGTTTGGAATAGTACCACTCAAGCGTGAGCATTCCACCTGAGAAACCTTTACGTTATTTTGTAGCATCTGAAGATTTTGTTATATAAACCATTGATGAACAGATATATGTTTCTGCAATGAGCCATTTCATATTGGTACTCACCATATGCTTTGTTTGTTTTATACATTGTAGGATGTCAACAGAGATGGTTGCGTGCATTGCGATTGAGGCAATATCCATATTAGAAAAGATGCATTCTAGAGGGTAATTTTCTTATATTCTTGCTGACGGTACTGCCTACTGCAACTCTCTTGCTGTAGATAGCTTTAATTTTCTTATATTCTCCTGTCTCTGGCAGATATGTGCATGGCGATGTAAAACCAGAGAATTTTCTGCTTGGGCCTCCCGGAACTCCTGAAGAGAAAAAACTTTTCCTTGTCGACCTCGGCTTAGGTATACTGTATTTTGTAGTAAGAGCAAGCATGCTTTACTTTCTTTGTGCTGCTCATCCAATTTGTTGATCTTACAGCAACCAAATGGCGTGATACTGCTACTGGACTTCATGTTGAATATGACCAGCGTCCTGATGTTTTTAGGTAAGTTGATCAAGTAGGCATAAAGCCTGTGAGATTGATTCTTATCAGTTACTTCAATCTTATGTTAGTTATTAATATTTGGCTTTTGTGCATTCTCAGAGGAACAGTACGTTATGCTAGTGTACATGCTCATCTCGGCAGAACTTGTAGTCGGAGGGATGACCTGGAATCTCTTGCTTACACTCTTGTTTTCCTTCTTCGAGGCCGGCTTCCATGGCAAGGGTACCAGGTTGGTGGCTCTAAAAGTTAAATAATTTTACTTTTTGGCATTTTTCCTTGCCAATCATTAACTTGTTATTTTTAGGGAGAGAACAAAGGTTTCCTTGTTTGCAAGAAGAAGATGGCTACTTCCCCAGAAACTCTTTGCTGCTTCTGCCCCCAACCTTTTCGTCAATTTGTCGAGCATGTTGTCAACTTGAAGTTTGATGAGGAGCCTGACTATGCTAAATATATCTCCCTTTTTGATGGAATAGTCGGCCCAAACCCAGACATTAGGCCAATAAATACTGAGGGTGCACAGAAGGTGATTTTGTGATCTCCTTTATGACACATTTATTGAGGTTTTACTGTTTAGGTCCAGTCTAGAATGTCTAAAGCTTTTTCGTGTTTGTCTGGTGTGAAGCTCATACATCAAGTGGGTCAAAAGAGGGGGAGGCTGACAATGGACGAGGAGGACGAACAACCAACAAAGAAGATCAGATTGGGCATGCCAGCAACACAATGGATCAGCATTTACAGTGCTCACAGACCAATGAAACAACGGTGCTACCTTGGATCATACTTGAGAATTCTTAGTATGTACGTAGATGACAATGCAGCTGACATGTCTTTTATCTTTGTGCAGATATCATTATAATGTTACTGATACAAGGCTTGCACAGCACATTGAAAAAGGAACTGAGGATGGGTTATTTATCAGCAGTGTGGCTTCTTGCGCGGATCTCTGGGCTTTGATCATGGATGCAGGAACTGGCTTTACGGATCAAGTTTACCAGCTATCACCAAGCTTTCTCCACAAGGTAGCTTCATTCTATATTCTGGGGTAGTCATTCGTCATGTCTGCCTTGCTGCTATCACTTCCATATTACGATATTCTCCAACTTGTGTATTTTTGCCTTTATTTGTCATCTCATAGGAATGGATTATGGAACAATGGGAAAAGAATTACTATATTACAGCAGTAGCAGGAGCAAATAATGGGAGCTCATTCGTGGTTATGTCGAAAGGTAATGTTGTTTTATTCCTTTTGAATGCAGGTGTAACAGTTATTTCCGTTTTATCTCTGTTTCACAGCTTTCATCCATTGTATTCAGGGACCCAGTATTTACAACAATCCTACAAAGTCAGCGATTCTTTTCCCTTCAAGTGGATAAATAAAAAGTGGAGGGAAGGATTTTATGTTACATCAATGGCAACTGCTGGAAGCAAATGGGGAATTGTAATGTCTCGTGGAGCTAATTTTTCTGACCAGGTCTGTGAAGTTTATTTATTGTTTGGGTCTAGCCTTGAATAGTTACATGAATCACATTGAATTACATCATTATAATATGGGTTTTTTTGTGATGTAGGTTGTAGAACTAGATTTTCTATACCCTAGTGAAGGTATACATCGTCGATGGGAAAATGGCTACCGAATTACATCAGTTGCTGCAACTTGGGATCAGGCTGCCTTTGTTCTTAGTGTCCCAAGAAGGAAGCTTACTGATGAGACACAGGAGACTCTTAGAACATCTGCATTTCCTAGTAATCATGTCAAGGTTTGCTTGCTTGTCTCTTATTTCTGTATCTATGTTATTTGGCTTACCAACTTCCTGGGGTGTAACTTCTAGTCCCTTTTTTTTCTGCAGGAAAAATGGGGCAAGAATCTTTACATTGCATCGATTTGCTATGGTCGAACTGTGTCGTGAAGTTCTAGTTTTTGTTAGGATGCAACTCAATTTAGCTTTACCATATATCGGCTAAGAAAGAAGAATCGTTGTGATCAGTGATGCTATGGGCGTAGGGGAACCTTTTAGCAAGGTTGAATGAATGTTTGCCAAATTTCACTGATGCTGTAATGTAGTGTATGACTTCAACAGTTTACCATGTTTTTCAACTTGGATGACTTGTTTGATGAAAGAAGTTTAATTTCTTAGATTAATAAGGTCTTATATATTATCTTCAACTAATGTTGATCTGTTCGAAGTGAGAGCCACAGTTTGATTTTATGTGGCAGTAATGAAGATGGAACTCTTTGGTGAAGCAGGAAATTAATGTTTCTGGTATTTATTATACCTGCCTTCAAAGTTCTGTCTTATGATTTTATTGTGTTCCTTGCATGCTGTTTTCCGTTAATCGTGTAGGAACAAACCAGGGAGGGTCTTTGAACCTTTTGGTCTTCATCTTTAGCGTCTCTACCATTGAAACGAGGTGATGCTTGTTTACCGATGTTCCTTTGGAAACGTAATAATTTGTTTTCTGAGATCAACACATTGACAGTTCTAAGCAGTTATATGGGTTGATTTCCCTACTTTGTTGCAGAAGTTCTTCCCTATTGTAAACTAACGTCGTGAAACTTTAAGTGCAGAATACGGGGCATCTCGTCTATACTAATATTCTGCTGTTGCTGCTTGTATCCAAGTTGAATGGTAGTTATGTTTTCTTCATACTCCAAAGGTATTGTTTGAAGCATGAAGATGAAATGTGGAAAAGCCTAAAGACAATCTGAATGGTAATAGCAAATCTTTGACAATGGTGATCCCAATACAAGTTCACAGTCATCATAAAGTCAAGCATGCTGTTTCAGTTCTCTTTCTTGATTTTCTATTTTCTGCCCTTGTTTTGATCCAAATGTCCTACGCTTTGACCATTTGCTAGTTGGATAATAATAATCTTGATTTATATATAAACTTAATTGTCCCAATTGCAATGTCTAAATAGTAAAGCCTCAATGTCACAATACATTCTCTGTATTGGCAAATCTGATAACCACATGGCGACTGATTTATAAAAAACGTATCCAAGCAAAGTATAAATCAGGATTCTACACGATTTAGGGGACAATCCCAATTGATACTTTGATTCCATCCTTAGCCCAACTCTTCGTGATACATGTTTTAAAGCCATTCCTTAACCTCTATTTCGTTTTGAATAAAAGCATCACCTAGATATGCTTCTTTCCGAAAACTCAAATGCTATGCTGCAAATGACTGACAGACTGAGAGTGAGAGTTCAATTCATTTAGGTCTACTCAAAACCCATAAGAGATTCAAGATTCCCGTGTTTGCCTACCTAGGGTACCTCCATCACATTTATGCTTTCATGCGTGCATGGGCGTATATATATAATGTATGTATGCATATTGATGAAAACATCAAATCCTCATAGCTGCCTTGTTATTACTTTAGAATTCTATACTCTAGTCAGCTTTGTGCTTTCACAAACTATTTTGTAATATTCAGCATAGTGGGGAAGTTTAAGGTAGAAACCTTTCTATGGTAATTTGGTATTGAAGCGCAAATTGATCCATAAGTGAGACATGATTTTAATGCTGTTTCAGCGCATGTCATCTGCGACCTGTGAGCCCCGAACTGCCCAGAAAGATGATGGCTTCAACTTCTTATTTGTCGCTGTGAAAAGCCAACCAAGTTGGGTTTCACACGTCGCACAGTTTGCAATTGTCCATGCATACCTGCGGATTTAAGACACATCAATCAGACTTGAAATATCAGATTTTCTTCTTAATAAAGTACAAGAACCAGTACTCTAAACAAGTTACCCTATGCCTAAGAACAATTGATCTAAAGGATTTCTTACAACAAATTGCGCCAGCTGCTTTATATGCTAATGCAGTAATGCTCTAAATATTTAGCTTGCTTTGAACCAAAGCTAGTTTTCAAATCATACAACTTGGAAGCTCCATAGGACGTATAATAGCGACAAACCCTATTCTAAACTACTGAGGTAGAGATAAGTATAGTGAAGGAAATAGGTCAAGTGGTCCAAATATAAAAATGACTCAAGGACAAACATTAAATAAATTCTCTTACCCAGGAAACCAGCTGTCCTTTTTAACAGGTCTACCTCTAAGCGCTATGTCATTTGCTTTGTAAAAGGTCATTATCTCGTGCACATAGCCATGTGGGTTTACGTAGGCACCAAGAGGACCTTCATTAGACATAACCAACATGTCTTTTCTTCTTGCTATGACAGTCTGCATTAATATACAACGGTATCAGTAAACAAAATATTCAATGAAGAGGAAGTGGAAATGGTATTTACCATGCTCCCACAAAATACCTGACAGTGTATACATCGAACACGATCAAAACTTTCAAGCAATTCAATTTCTCGCTGCAATCTATAGGAGACTCCATCCAGCTCCAAGAGCTCTTGTCTAATTGACTCAGACACGGGAATTTTACTAGCAATGGAAAAGGATAGAATATCTGGTTTATTCACAAAAGCTTCCATATTTGGAACCCCAACTATTTGCTTCCACAGATCTGCATTTTATCTTAATATTAGCAGACTCTTTAATATGTGTGCTACTTTTAGAATACAATCAAAATAAAGAAGGAATTTACCAGCTGCTCTTTGAGCAAGATAATATGAGTCGTACATCCTATACGCCCAGAATGGCCAAAATGCTCTTGGGGTCATACGGAATCGGCTTAGATCAGTACTTTCCCGGAAACTTGCCAGCCTATTTTGCTTCTGATATGTCTCTTGTGAGACAGGAGTCTTGCCAATTGCCGATTGCTCGTCTTCATTTTCGTCGTCATGGCTAGAAGCTAAACATCCAATGGACCTCGAGCTGTATGGATTAGACCCACTAGATTGGACTGTAGAGGTGCCGACTACTTGATCATCATCACTACTTGTTGAGTTACAAAATATTGAGTCAACTACTGAATAATGAAGTCTTTTTTCTGACGGAGAAAGAGCACTTTCAAAACTTTCTTCAGAATTTGCTTCCATATCTCTAAGAGGTGTAGATAAAGACACTGTACTCAAGGAGTAGCGACCTTGCAACTTGCTTATCGGTACCAGTTTCCCAAACGCGTCCCTGGGAGTCCTCAAGGGCACATCTTCATCAACAATTTGAGCCTCTCCGCAAGGCTGCAAAAAGGGTTTAAAAGTATAAGCTTCTTTCACAGTAAACAAAGATGCATTCCCCACTTTTACTAATAAATAAGAGGAGTGTCTATGTATATATATATATGAGAGAATGTCCATACAAATCCTTCAACGTCAGTCCAGCGTCGCTTTAAACGGAACCGTTGTTGTCCACGAGTAATAACATTGAATGAACCATCACCAAGTCGACGGTATTGTCGTATCTGTGATTAACACCGAGAATAAAATGTTACATATCAAGAACTAGAAGATCCAAATTATTTCCACCAGTTAAAAATAGTAAACAATAACCATAGCATTTCCCAACTTCCTACATCAAGACCCCCTGTCTCAGGCATTGTTCCAGAAAAATTGCACAAAAATTTAAAAGTCCATAGTATTTTAGGTAAGAAACCAATCAACAAGGATGCCAATTGTAAAAAGTATTTATTTCTGAGGATATGTTAGTGCTGCCACCAATCATATCAGATCCCACAATTCCAAATACAAAACTGCAGAAAATTTCAAATACAAAACCGCAGAGGTCTTAAGAAGAGACGAAGCAAAAACCGTTTTAGAAACAGAAAACTGAAAGGTATAACTTCATCTAACAATCATTTGAAAGGAAAGGAAATATTACCTCTGCGGTTGTCCCCACACTGGCATACTTAAACTGAGCCCCTTCTCTGTAAACACGAATCTGAAGGTAACAGGATAAAGTTAAGATCAGTAATTATTTCTTTTAGAAAAGACCATGATATTTAGAGAATCCAAAACACGCAAAGCAAAAGATTAAGTCACCTACCACACCTATCGTAGATGGAGCGTTAGCTTGGTTCAAAGCTCTTTCAACAGCAGCCAAGAAACTAGGCTGAACGATTCTAAGGGGTAGTGTTGCCTCAGGAAATAGAACCACTCCTGTAGTATTGCAAAGCAGCAGTGTCACTAGGAGGGGACATATGACTCTTCAGAACATACATGTCTTACACGAATTGGTTTTACGAAACAGTACTTCTTGTCAATCCGACGAAGAAACATGGTGTGCTTGTTGAATTCAAGTTAGCATCCCATGTCAGTGAACATGCAATTACAAACTTAAACTAAAGCTAAACAAGTAACCACTAAAAGAAGAAAGCTATCACCACACTATATTATTATAAATACCTTCAAGATAGAAAAGCGGGATCTTCAAAACTGTGCCTCCATCCACAAAAGCAATTCTGTTTTGAGTGTCCTCAACCTCTGTTAAAATATACAAAACCATAAGCTCAAATATGACAAACATATAAGAAAACACCTCGAAAAGAAACAAGCCGAGAGAATCGATCCATACCGCCAAGATACGTATGTAAAGAAGCCAAAGCTGGGTTGAAAATAAGTTCATCATCACCAAGGTTACCACTGTCAAACCACCAAATGCAAAGAAAATCAATTACCGATTCGTTGAATCTGTTATCTAAAGGATTACATATTTGCGCAACTATTAAACATCACGAAACCCTATCTAAGCAAAAACTCGAAAATCAAATTTGGTTTAAACACTTGAAACTGGTTTTTGTAGTCACTAGAAATAGTAAGCTAGACGACGAAGAGAGTGTAGAGAACGAATAAGTAACAAAGGATCGTAGAGAGAAATTAAAGGAGGGAATAGAGATTGCTCACGAAGCTTGAGCGTGGGAAGAGAAGGGAAATGAAGAGAGATGATCATTATCATCGGAATCGGAATTGTGAAAGTCGTCGACTTCTTCGACTTGTAATTCCTCGAAATCAAGCTCACGAATCTGCTCGATCTGAAGTCTCTCTCTCTCACGAATCCTCTCGTCGTCCATTTTCTTCTCTCGAGTTTTCGTTTACCCGCCAGTAGAGAGAGTCTCCTTTCGCCACCTCCGCGTTTTCCAGGTTTGTTGTCTCCGTCTTGTAAGTTATCGGGCCGGTTTATGGATCCAATATCCGGCCCAACTATCTCGGGTCATCATCTATTTGATTTTGATATATCTCTATACTATTAAAAGAGAAGTACAAAAGTACTTGGGTCGGGTTAAAAAAAAAAATCGAGCAATTAACCCGGAAATATACTATTCGGATCTTTGAGAATTAATTACGAAATATTAAACTCGGAAAATAACGACCATTAAGCATTAATTACGAAAAAAACGAGCATTAATTACCTAACAAAAACGAGAATTGTGTTTGCTTAAAAATCGGCTTATGTGACAAATATCTTAATCTTAAATGACGCCGTTGGTATATTCTTCGAGGTCAAGTTTAAATCTTAATCTTATTCCCATCAACAATATACCAACAGCTTTGGAAATAAGATTATGCAAAAAATATCGTTGAGATCTTAATTACCTTTTATTTGTGCAAAAATACCTCATTTCTCGCCCAAACGATCTTACTTACTTTATTTTGAATTAGAATCGTAAAAAATCTCCATAATATAAAATCAGAATATATATCAAACCTTTATCATATACTTTGTTGAGATCTTACTTCCTTTTTTTAAGTGTTCTCAAATCAAAAAATCTTCAATTCTCGCCGTTTAATATACTTTGCATAAACCTTACTTTTGTGAATATATGCGTTACCCGTATAAATATAGGATCAAACCATCCGTATAAACACAAATCATTACCATTTTACTTTACTTCCATCAAACAAACTCTTTTTCCAAAATAGTGTAGCTCATAATAACGTTTTCACAAGTCTCAATGGTATCAGACCTTTCAAAACAACCTGGAGAATTCAAGTCAAAATCGTTCATTGTTAGAGATGCACTCTATAATTTTTCTTACCTCTTCGATTTTTAATTCCATTAAATTTGCTCACTATGACAGAAATCGGAGATGCACTCTATCAATTGATGGGTCTCTGGAATATTTTGATTTCATTGCAGAAGAAGAATGAAGATTTTGTATTTTTCGTTTTCCTTTTTTTTTTTCCTGCTGTTTGTACACGTTACACATATTGCTATCTTTGAACGGACACATATTATATTGCGGTACTATTCATTTTCCATATCTAAGCCCAATCATAAATAAATGTTTCTAAATACCTACTTCCGTATTGTCAAAAAAAAAAAATACCTTCCCCGCGGTGGCACCGCGGGCTCTGACCTAGTATATGCCAAAAAATAAAACTTATTAAATTATTTAATATGAAAAAATGAAGATGGCATACAAATTTCTTATTGTACATTTGAAAAAACAAAAAAAGATATTGAAAAGTTTTTTTTTTTTTTTTTTTTTTGTCATCGATATTGAAAAGTTGTTTTCGCAATATAAGTTGTTTTTCTTCACAAAATGATCAATCACTTATATTGCCATAAATTACATTTCCAACCATAAGTCAATAATAAAGAAAAGAAAAAAATTAGTACTACTACTAATAATACAATTTGATTTTTAAATCTAAAAACCGACACAAACACACAATCAAAAGACCATAAGTCTTGCCATCAAAAATGAAGCTTTATTAATTAACACTTAATTAACAAGTTACATGCTGAGTACAACGTCAGCCACCGTACTTGCAGAGGTTTTCGAATCCCATGTACTCGTGCCGTTGGATTTTGCCGATCATGTTCACTATGCCCACGCCACCTAAGAACAGAAAAACAACGATAACAAAAGTTACATATTTTTCGAAGGTAATAAAATCCGCCCGTGGCTGCGCAAAGCCGCAAAGTATTCTTTATATCCATTTCGATTGATTAGAAAATCTAGATAACCAGATGTGTAACTATGTACAGATCAAAGCAAATATTAACACTAATATATGGTTGATGCAGAACAAATAAAAATAGTTTTGGCTTTTGGGTTAGAAGGAAATAGTGTACCAAGCGATATCGCACTGATAAAAATCATGGACGCGAGGATGAAGATAATGAGAGATGCCCGGCCGAGGGCTGCAATGAGCCTTCTAACTACATGCTGTCCTACAAAAGCTGCAATTGTTGCCACTCCAACAAGGTACAGAGCTGCACAAAAGTAAACAAATAGTGAGGATATCGCGAAAGTTTAATCGATTCCTTGGCCTTTTAGAACAAAATAACATAGAACTCACCATAAGGAACAGGGAATCGTTTGAGAAGATAGTATTCTACAACAGACATTGATGAAGAGAAAGTCATTGCAAAAGTGGCTGTGGCACTTGAAACCTACACAAAACGTAGATCCGGTTATACAAAAACAAGTGATTTCTCGATTATAATGTTGTAATAAATTCACACCTGTGGCGGGACACCGAGCTCTAAGAACAATGGACCCATGATGAAACCTCCGCCTAAACCAAGTAAACCACCGACTATGCCTGCCAATATGCCAAATGTACAGTACATAATAAGCTGACCAACAGTGAAATTCGAGTCTCCTTGTCCTTTAGATGCAATGATTCTTCTACCCTGGTACAAAGCTACTGCTTCATAGCCTGATACACCAACTGCAACCGGAATCTGCATGACGGTAGGAAAGTGTAAGTGTCTCTAAACAGTTTACATGGATCTCTCTGTAAAAATATGTTATTGACTATACCTGTAACAGATTTATGACCCAATATGCTACTGAACAATTAGCCAGATTTTGCTGTTTTCATAGTAGAACATGGAAAGTATCAATAAAGTTTGAACTTGAACAAGTATGATCATATTCCATGAAAAAGATAAATAATTAACCTTGGATATCTGCAGTGCCAGGAACACAATCCAGACAAACACGAGAAGTCCCAGTTCCTTCCAATATACATTTTCAATAATACTTACCTGCAGTACCTTAGTATGGTTAAGTGTGACATAACTTGCAAATACAGAACCAGCACTAGTGTAAAGAGAATAGCATATACTTCTTCTTTCTTTTTGTTTCCAGGGTTTGTGCTCGGGCCTGCGGGAAGAGGCACGTATTCCACTTCTGCCCCAGATACACCTAACGAAAAAGAGGATTATGTGAGCAATGTTTTCCCAATAAAAACAAAACAGAGATTGTAAAATGTTGGTCCCTGAAAAATGTTTAACAAACAAAGATTAAGCTCACCGTTTGACTCTAAACGCTTAGCAGCCTCCTGCACCACAAAGAGAAAAATAGTTTGGTGGTTGGTTATTCATTAAGATTGACACTATCAAGCAATAAATGATATAACAACCCCTGTTAGGTGTTAGGTGAACAATCATATTCAACTATAAGTCCATTGAAGGAGGCTCAAAGATCATAAGAAAAAATACTTTATGCCTAAACCGAAAAATGGTGCCTCGCAAGAAGTTAGCGAGGTACCTTTTTCTCTATAGTTTCCTTGTTCCAAGTCTCAGAACCCTTCAAAAACGCCTTTGTTGATGTGCCTACAAGCAAACATTGATAAAAAAGAAATGGTGACTCTACGTCTAATTAACCGCGGATAGGGAGAGACACATATCTAAAACATATTACCTAGAAAAAGGATGATGAGTAGAACTGTAACCAACCAATCCGGAAAAACAACATTAAAAGCAACCCCAATACTAATCCCAAGCATAAGCATAGGCTGGATCAGCAACGCGAGATCGTAATCAATGATTGGCATATCAAGTGTTGGATGCCTCAATCTAAGATTGTAATACACAGTTGACACAGAAGCACCCATAATCATACCTAAGAAAATCATCATTATTAGTCAAAAAAAAAACACCAAGACAAAAACATATAAATGTTGTTAACTAAAATCTTACATTTTGAAATAGCTGTAGCTGATTTAGGATCAAAGCCAATAATCAAACTAAGCATAGGTACAAAAATTCCACCACCACCAACACCTCCAACACTACCAAACGCAGCTCCAAAGAATCCAACAAGAGTTCCCAAAACAATTTGCCAATTAAACTCAAATTCCTGAATACAAAAATCCACATGAACACATAATTCTGAAACAAGAGATGAAACTTAGAAGAATGATACTTACAGGCCAAACATGACGATAACCAATTTGATCAGATTCCCATAGAAAATTGACAGCTTTAAGGAAGAAACTTGATTCATTTTCCCGCGTTTCATCTGAATTTAACCTCAGAGATTTTCCTTTGAAGATTCTTCTCTCAGCGGAAACAAAAGCAAAAGCTAGAGAGAAATTGAGAAAAACCATGATTACAGATCTTAATCCTAACCATTTCGATCTTAATTTCGCCATTGTATACACTAACTTCAACGAGAATGGAGAAAACAAAGCAAAAGAGAAGAAGAAGAAGAAGACAAATTCAAAAGGTGAAATGTGTCGAACGCTTTCCACGATCTAAAGCGAGATCAGGATTCACACGACAGGAGTCAAATTTTCTCTGTGAGAAGAAAAAATGAAATTCGAAGTGGAGAGGGACTCGTATTTTTGTTTTATGAAAATGCCAAGTAGACGAGTGATTGCGTATTAAGAAGGTATCATTGATGACGGATTTAGGACAGACAACTAGATCACGTAATGATGTAATAAAATTACTTTGGATGTTTTTATTTAGACAAGCACATGTCATTCACATTCAGACCACCTGCCATGATTTATATTGGAGGATTGGAAAAGAAAATGAAAGAATGAAGGAAAATGTGTCTGTGTATATAAAGTTTGAGTTGGGCCACAACGGACTGGTACAGTAGTCCGTTTTCTATATTTACCGAGTCAAACTCCATTTGAGAAGAGAGGGTAACTAATGGTGACGCGCACTAGGTTTTAGCGGATGTGAAAAACAGAACCGGAACCGATCCGAATTGGAATGTACTAAACCAAACTGAAACCGATATAAATATTCGAATGAAAACTAGTCTCCGAATAGTTGGAATCAAAACGAGAACCGAATGGGTATTTGAAATACTTGAATATAATTATATATCTAATTTCCACAAAAGAAAAAAAACAAATTTCTAAAATACCTTAATGGTATCTAAAATATCTGACATCTAAAAGAACAATGTAAACTGAGTAATTAATTATATATATAGGAAACTGAAATTATATATATAGGAAACCTAATAAATTATCATTAATGACGCAAGACAATAGAGTAAGGGGGTCAATTGAATGATAAATTTAGAGTGATTTGAGTCATATTAAGTTTTGAGATGATTTTGGTGAATTTTGGTGAATTAGGAAATTTAGTATTAAAATCTCTTAAATCTCAACTAAAACTAGGGGTGTCAAGTTGGTTAAACCAAACCAAACCAATCCATATCCATATGGGTTTAGTGTATAATGGATGATGAGTCAATCCAATTCATTTAGCAAATGGTTTGGATGAAACAATAACTCATTTAAATCTATACTATTAATTGGGAAGCATTTTGTGGACTACAACATTGTGAGGGTAGTTTAAAACTAACTAAATGAATTTTTACATGGGTAGTTTAGTAAATAAACAACTACTACAACTAAATAAATATATTTGATTCGGATCCTTCATTAATTTTTTGCGAAAACAAATAACAAAATTAAATGATCCAATATATTCCAAGATTTGCTTCGTCAATATTTTTGGTATGATTTGTCTACAAAAACAAAAAAAAGGAAACAACATTAAATATTAAATAATAACTGAATATTCAACATCAATATATTTATTTCGAATATAAATCGAAATATTTTGTATTTTTCAATTTGTTAGAGATAAAATAAAAAAATTCAACATAAATCGAATGACATTAATTGAAAAATACAAAATATTTTAACAATAAAATCTAAGTAATAATATTTATGTTATAAATATATTCATATTCCGATATTATCTCATTTACCAAATATAACAAATTAAGTACATAGCCAAAAAAAATATGCGACATACATTCCATCCAATATTTTGTTTTTGTCAAATCGTAATATGTAAACAATTAATAGTATATATGTAAACGTTAAATTATTAGTAACTAAACTAACTAATAATATAAATAATTTAAATAAAATTAAATATTTGCCAGTTGGTAAATACTAAAATTATAAATATTTATCAACGATATTATCAGTTTTGCAACGAGAAATATTTATCAATGATGTTACCACTCTATAAAAGTTTATGATATTAATAGTGTACATTTATACTATTAATTGAGAAGCATTGGATAAAATATAACCTTATAAAAGGTAAATAATTACAAAGAATGCCATTGATATTTTTAAATTTGAAAAAGGAAAATTAATAAACCGAAACGGGTAATTGTGTATATTTAATCCGAAATTGCATATATGTAAACCAAATTATTTTCGTAAGATATTATTAGATATTTTAGAAAATGGCAATCTAATCTAATAACAAATTATCATTTCGTTTAGATTTTTAAAATTTTCCTTAACAATACTATGCTAATTAATTCTGATTGGTACACATGGAAAAAAGATTTTTCAATTTTGATTTTCCAAATATGAAAAAACATTTATTATATTTGTCGTATATATTTTAAACGAAATACTTCCATCCTTTGAAATACAGCTTATTCAATATTAATTTTTTAGATTCTAAATTTGTAAATATCTAGAAAATATTTCCAAGATAGATTAAAATATCTAACATTTAATTAGAATTTAAATAATATAAAATTTTAGAATATATATTTTTTTAAAATGGGTAGTTTTCATTATTTTAAATATATATATAACTAACCTAAATTTTTAATTTATTTTTAAAACGTACTATAATAGTTACTATATCTCCAAATAAATTATTCAATTTCAAATCAAATAAATTATTTTAATTTGTATCAAATTGTTACAAGATTTTGGAATACACATTCTTCTAGAATTGATTATTTTCTTTTTCAAATAACATTAAAATAAATTTAAATACAAATGTTTTAATTTTTAATGCAAATATTTCAAAGTGAGAAATATTAAATTTAAGGAACTATTGAATTCAAATCAAGATGACTAATTTAACTAATTACAAGCTACTTTTTAATTTACACAGTTTTTACAATTAATTCAAAATGATTCTCTAAATTTATTAACATTAAACTATCTCTTAGTTTTATGATTTTGTTAAGATAAGTTGATAGATCATTTATTTTTTCAATTTGTTTTCATGTTTTAATTTACGGTGTATTTACAAATTTTAACAGAACATGTTAATCCCCAAAACTTACAACCGTATATTGTATGGTGTTTAAAGATAAGCAAAAATGAACTCGGAAAATGATATTTAATGTAATATAACGAGAATAGGAATTACGAAACAGGAACGACATAGAAGAAGACAGGACGGGATAGAAACATAGATTTTAGATTAGAACAAGTTACAATTCAAACAAATTAACGTTTGCAATCAAATATGTAACATGTGTTTTCAATTTATATAGCATAAAAATGTTCAAAATAATAAATGTTATTATAGTATGTTCTATAATAGTTAAAATTTAAAAAACAAACAAATGTAATTTAATATTTATGAACAAAATATAAAACAATAAGAATAAAGTAGTCAATTAATTTGTAATATTTTTATTATATCATCATATAAAAATATACTATGAATTATATTTGTGTTTGTCCCAAACAAGATATCGAGAATTTTTGTTTCCGTCACGTCCTGTTTCTAATCGGGAATACAAACTTTGTCTTATATTAGAAATGCATTCTCTTATGAGATATAAATTGGAGAACGGGTAAGATATAATGGAATATGATAAAATTGAATGGGAATTACGCCTATCTCTAAATATTTCTATTTCTCGCAAACGTATTTAATCATTTTAACGGTTTTATCTACGGTTTGATAGTTTACAAGTTTAATGTTCACAAGTTTAATAAAAATCTATCTGACCATTAACTCGATTCATTTTGATCTCGGTCCGACCGTTTGATTGTTACGAATTTTAAAATACTACTAAAATCATTATTATTTCAAATATTTCAACCAACTAATATGAGTTTTGGTTATTGATACTATAACTATATAAATAATTTTTTTAACATCAATATAATCTAACTTTTTATTATATCATATCATATAAAAATATACTATGATTTATATTTGTGTTTGTCCCAAACAGAATATCGAGAATTTTTGTTTCCGTCACGTCCTGTTTCTATTCGGGAATACAAAATTTGTCTTATATTAGAAATGCGTTCTCTTATGAGATATAAATTGGAGAACGGGTAAGATATAATGGAACATGATAAAATTAAATGGGAATTACGCCTATCTCTAAATATTTCTATTTTTCGCAAACGTATTTAATCATTTTAACGGTTTTATATACAATTTGATAGTTTACAAGTTTAATAAAAATCTACTTGACCATTAATTCGATTCAGTTTGATCTTGGTCCAACCGTTTGATTGTTACGAATTTTTAAATACTGTTAAAATCATTATTATTTCAAATATTTCAACCAACTGATATGAGTTTAGGTTATAGATACTATAACTATATAATATTTTTTTTACATCAATCTAACTTATATTATATTTCAATCTAAGATTTTTTTCTAATCTACTCTTCAGTTTCAAACTTCAAAAATTGACTTATGGTTGCTATTGTGTCATAAGCAAACATAAATAACATTTTATACTTTTCTGTGTACATTATAATTTATTTAAGAGAAATTGTTAAAAATGCCCCTTTTTCAATACCCCTTTTCAAAAATGCCCCCTTTGAGAGTCCATTTTTAAGTTTGCCCTCTTTTAATTTTTAATGACCATTTTACCCTTATTTGAAACAAAATTAGGTCCACAAAATACAAAATATTTTTTGGCGGGAAAAGTGATCCCGCAATTTTCCCGCCAAAACACTTGTAAAAAACCTTTAAAATACCTTGTAAAATTTTCCCGTAAAATTTTTCCCGCCAAAAAATTTTCCCGCCAAAAAATTTTTTTTGCGGGAAAAGTGATTCCGCAATTTTTTTTTTTGGCGGGAAAATTTTTGGCGAGAAAAATTTACAAGGTATTTTAAAGGTTTTTTACAAGTGTTTTGTAAGGTTTTACAATGTATTTTAAAAGGTTTTACAAGGTACTTATTAGGTTTTATAAGGTATTTATAACTTGTAAAACCTTATAAAAAACTTGTAAAACCTTATAACTTGTAAAAACCTTATAAAATAGCTTGTAAAATCTTATAATATCTTGTAAATACGTTGTAAAACCTTTTAAAATACATTGTAAAACCTTATAAATACCTTGTAAAAAACCTTTAAAATACCTTGTAAATTTTTGGCGGGAAAAACGCCAAAAAAATTGCGGAATCACTTTTCCCGCAAAAAAAATTTTTTGGCGGGAAAATTTTTTGGCGGGAAAAATTTTACGGGAAAATTTTACAAGGTATTTTAAAGGTTTTTTACAAGGTTTTACAAGTGTTTTGGCGGGAAAAATTGCGGGATCAATTTTCCCGCCAAAAAATATTTTGTATTTTGTAGACCTAATTTTGTTATATTTCCTTATATATTTGTGATATATTTTATTAAAAGAAGGGTAATTTAGTCATTTTGTACATAAAAAGGGGTATTTTTAAAAATGGACAGCCAAAGGGGGCATTTTTGAAAAGGGGTATTGAAAAAGGGGCATTTTTGTGAGTCTCCCTTTATTTAATACAATATATATCACTAACACAACAAAATAATCATATATTTAATAAAAATTTATTACAACATATTTCTTAAAATATGAAATCCCGCACGTATGTGCGGGTCAGTGTGCGGATCAGGATCTAGTTATTGGATTAATGGATAAACTCATTTAATCCATTTAATAAATTTTCCATGATCTAAATAATTATCATAATTAATAATTATCATACTACAATCATCATCATCATACTATTATAATCATTCATGATCATCATCATCATCATCATCATCATCTCATCATCATCATCATCATCATCATCTCATCATCATCATCATCATCATCATCATCATCATCATCATCATCATCATCATCATCATCATCATCATCATCATCATCATCATCATCATCATCATCATCATCATCATCATTATCATCATCATCTCAATAAGAATCAAGTAACACACATTGTGCCTGACTTATTAAATATCCGATTGAAACAAAATGGAGAAAGAATGTGTAAATTCTAGCAGTGAAGAGGTAGATGAAGTCTGAAACTTTCTTTTTGATTAAAATCTTAAAACAAAAGTCTAAAAAGCATAAAGAAGAGCTATAATTATAAAGATTAAGATCAATGTTTGCAAGAGATAGAAGGAGAGAAGCAAGAAACACAGTCGTCGAATTGACTTCAAAAGCCAAATTACTTGGATCGATGTCTCATCTTTCGTCTCTTCTTCTTAAGCCTCCTCATACGCTTCTTCTTCCACTGCAAACAAAACAAGTACCAGAAACCATTTTTAAACCAAATAAAACTGGCAACACCCACAGCAATTGCCAATCAAAATACAACATCAGAATCTACTCAAATCACTAAGAAACAATACACAAATCAACAAACTTGGATTGTAATAGACACAAGCCAATGTAAGTAAAGAACCTACCTTTGAAACATTGGCCAAAACATCAAAATGCTCTATGAATCTGTTCTTGTAAGATTGTTTCTACCTAAACTATAGTTTTATTATTCGAACAGTGAAAATGAAACATAGAGAAGAGAACTCACGAATTGTTTCCTGGCGAGAAGCCTGTTGATTAGATAAAATCTAAAACATTAGATAACTCGAGTAATTCAATACACAGCAATTCACAAAATTCTAACATACTTAAAGATCATCAAACACACAAACATTAGATAAAATCTACCAAAAGCATAGCTAAAGTTCTAGATAAAAAACTGACCTTGGCTCTCATCTTTAGTGTGTTCTTCTCCAACAGATTGTTCTTCCACATAATTTGAATCCGACCGAATAGTGATTATCTCGCAATCTACAATTCATAAGAGAAGATATTAGTAATATAAACTAACCCAAGTGAAGCAAATAAATTGATAAATAATAGTATTTTTTACCTTCATCATCAACCTTGTAACCATGTATCCAAGATCGAGTACATAGTAACGCTTGGACGTTACTGGGAAGAAGTCGACTCCGGTATTTGTTGATCAAATGAGATCCAATACTAAATGAAGACTCAGAAGCTACAGTGGTTATGGGTATGCTTAGAATGTCCATTGCCATATACGTTAATGCGCCGAAACGATTTCTATTCTCTTTCCAATACTGCAAAATATTCAGATTAGGATGGCTTCTCATCTCTAGCTTTGGATCCTTCAAATACATATCCAATGCCGACTTTCCTTCTTCCATATAGTCTGGACCATCATCTAAGTCAAACAAATCCTGAAAACGAATTTTAACATATTACAGTCTAAAAAAAACTCATAAAGTCAAGAGTACTTAAAACTCATAAAGTCAAGAGTACTTAAACTTGCAAATATAGAAAGTTACATCTTGCACGTCTAAGTTCCCTCGTCCTCGTTCAAGAACACAAGAGCCTGCTCTTGTAGATACAACTGGAGTCAAAGGAAATTTTTTTCGATATTCTTCAAAGAGCTTATAAAGCTCACTCTTGAGGTGGTCTATTTTTGCTTGTGAAGTGAATGGGTCCAGCTCATCGTAACATCGCTTTAAAAGTCTAAATTTCATCCTAGGATCTAAGACAGCTCCCATCGCAAGAATCACACTGTATTGCTCCCAATATTTATCATATTTCAGCCTCATCTTGTAAATCATCTCACGAATAACGTTGTCATCGTGGTATCTATTCACTTCCAGCAAACACTGTATCATCCATATATGTCCAAAGTATAAGTTAGATGTAGAATAACTCCTTCTAGACATTAAAGTAGTGATACTATAGAAGGGCATCAAAATCTCATGAATTAACTTTGCTCTCTTCTAATCTTGACTTGTAGGGCAGTGTTTGTAGTTTTTGTCAACCACCTTAAACCTATTTAATGCCCGCTCATACTTTAAAGCTTTCTCAAGCATCAAGTACGTAGAATTCCATCTATTTTGAACATCCAAAGACAAAAGGACTTCACAATCACCCTCCACGCATTCTGCTAGCGCAATACGTCTAGATTTTGAGCCTTTGAGATACTTCACAGTCTCTCTAATCTTAGTCAATGCACCGATAATAACGTCTAACCCATCTTGCACAATGAGGTTTAAGATGTGTGCACAACATCTCACGTGGAAAAAACTCTCCTTTGCATAACAAATCATTATCTAAATTAAGCCTATCTTTCAATATATCTTGCAATGTTCCATTAGTTGTAGCATTATCGAGAGTCAAACTAAATACCTTTTTCTCTATTCCCCATTCCTTTAAGCATTCATGGATTTTACTAGCTAAAGCATCACCGGTGTGAGGAGGAAAGATATCACAAAACGATAGAATTTTGCTATGCAATATCCACTTCATATCTACATATTGTGCAGTCACAACTATATATCCATCTCCATAGACTGTAGTCCAACAATCTCATGAGAGCAACGAGATATAGAATTGATGAAATCTCCGCTATGGTTATTTTGCCCTTCAAGATCTTAACGAATGTTGGTCTATAAAAAATTAAAACAGATTTACTATATCTCCAAATTTTGAATGAAATGAAGAAAACTAATCTTCAAAGTTATTTAACATTTATTTTGTTGAAAACAATATATATATAGTCTTAAAACAAAACGTTTAACTCAAATTTCTTTAGGTACCTGTTTTCTTTGAAGTAACATATATATAGCTTGTTCTTTGATTTAAAACATCTTGTTAAATTATTTTTAAAGGATTTGGCAAAAATAAATATTGGGTTTGCATACTTACGTTAGAGTCAAAATGAGAGCTACACCAACGCAATTACCGATTATTCCAAGAGTCGTTTGTGTGATGATATACAAGAATAAGAAGAAGAAGTATTTATGATGACAAAGATTAATTCATAGAATGATACATCGTCGCCATCATGTCGTCTAAGTGAGCGAAAACAAACGCTTGACTAATTTTGTTTAAGTTACTGTAGGTTTACACTCAAATCTAATAATCTGTGTAGTTTAGTTAAATTATTTTAGTGTTGGGGTTGAAAAAGGAACTATAACTTTGTTGAGGTATAAAAACGTACTTTACAATATGTTCGGGTTGAAAGGGCTCTTTCCCCGTTGTATGGGTTAAAAAACTCAAATTAAATATCATTGTAAAAGCTTAATTCTAAATTTTAAATTCTATATTAGTTTTCTGATTTGTTTTTTCAACCGAACAAATTGTAAAGTGCGTTTTTATATATCAACAAAGATACAATGCTTTTTTCAATCTCAACACTAAAATAATTCAAAACAACTACCCAAACTATTAGATTTGAGCAACTACAGTGACTTAAACAAAATTAGTCAACTGTTTGTTTTTGCTTAATTAAACGATATGATGGTCATGAAGGATGACGTCGTTTTAGTCATTTGAGTCCATAAACTCAATACATTAACAACGAAGTGTCATCTTGTCTTTACAAGTGTTATTTTGTATTAACAAATTGTAAAGTACGTTTTTATATATCAACAAAGATATAGTACTTTTTTCAACCTCAACTCTAAAATAATTCAAAACAACTACCCAAACTATTAGATTTGGGCAATTACATTGACTTAAACAAAATTAGTCAACTGTTTGTTTTTGCTTAATTAAACGATATGATAGTCATGAAGGATAACGCCGTTTTAGTCATTTGAGTCCATAAACTCAATACATTAACAACGAAGTGTCATCTTGTCTTTACCAGTATTATTTTGTGTTAACAAAACATCGTCGTTTTGTTGAGTTTATGGATTCAAATGATCAAAACGACGTTGTTCGATTGAGTTTATAAACTTAAACAATGTCATGTGGTTAAGATAAATGATACATCGTCGCCATCATGTCGTCTAAGTGAGCGAAAACAAACGCTTGACTAATTTTGTTTAAGTTAATGTAGGTTTACACTCAAATCTAATAATCTGTGTAGTTTAGTTAAATTATTTTAGTATTGGGGTTGAAAAAGGAATTATAACTTTGTTGAGGTATAAAAACGTACTTTACAATATGTTCGGGTTGAAAGGGCTCTTTCCCCGTTGTATGGGTTAAAAAACTTCTAATTAAATATCATTGTAAAAGCTTAATTCTAAATTTTAAGTTCTACATTAGTTTTCTGATTTGTTTTTTCAACCGAACAAATTGTAAAGTGCGTTTTTATATATCAACAAAGATACAGTGCTTTTTTCAACCTCAACACTAAAATAATTCAAAACAACTACCCAAACTATTAGATTTGAGCAACTACAGTGACTTAAACAAAATTAGTCAACTGTTTGTTTTTGCTTAATTAAACGATATGATGGTCATGAAGTATAACGTCGTTTTAGTCATTTGAGTCCATAAACTCAATACATTAACAACGAAGTGTCATCTTGTCTTTACAAGTATTATTTTGTGTTAACAAATTGTAAAGTACGTTTTTATATATCAACAAAGATATAGTACTTTTTTCAACCTCAACTCTAAAATAATTCAAAACAACTACCCAAACTATTAGATTTGAGCAACTGCATTGACTTAAACAAAATTAGTCAACTGTTTGTTTTTGCTTAATTAAACGATATAATAGTCATGAAGGATAACGCCGTTTTAGTCATTTAAGTCCATAAACTCAATACATTAACAAGGAAGTGTCATCTTGTCTTTACCAGTGTTATTTTGTGTTAACAAAACATCGTCGTTTTGTTGAGTTTATGGATTCAAATGATCAAAACGATGTCGTTCGATTGAGTTTATAAACTTAAACAATGTCATGTAGTTGAGATAAATGATACATCGTCGCCATCATGTCGTCTAAGTGAGCGAAAACAAACGCTTGACTAATTTTGTTTAAGTTAATGTAGGTTTACACTCAAATTTAATAATCTGTGTAGTTTAGTTAAATTATTTTAGTGTTGGGGTTGAAAAAGGAACTATAACTTTGTTGAGGTATAAAAACGCACTTTACAATTTGTTCGGTTGAAAAAATAAATCAGAAAACTAATATAGAACTTAAAATTTAGAATTAAGCTTTTACAATGATATTTAATTTGAGTTTTTTAACCCATACAACGGGGAAAGAGCCCTTTCAACCCTTTTGATGTGCACCTAATAAAAAATGCCCCTTCAAAAGTTAAAAAGCAATGAAATTAAATATCATTGTAAAAGCTTAATTCTAAATTTTATATGTGGAGTACAGTAATAGGAAGAAATTGCATATGTTATTTCGAGGGAATTCGTTTCACTTGAATCTAAGTGTCAATTAAAATGGTGTACATAGCTTGGGATATATTGGAATTGCATATGTTAGTTCGAGGGAATTGTTTCACTTGAATCTAAGGGTCAATTAAAATGGTGTACGTAGCTTTCAATTAAAAGGTGAAAGATATTGGTTTTTAGTTTCGGATTTTTGGTGAAAGATATTGGGCTTTAGTTTCAGGTTTCTATGATTAGGATTTTAATCTGGTAACATATTAGTAATTCCAATATCGAGGCATAATAAGGAATATGGTATCAATGCACAATAAGGAAATATGGCTTCTTCAAGTTAGAAGTAATTTCTTCTTTTTCCTATTACATTGCTTCTTCTTCCTATCTCTACCTTTCAATATCTTCACTTCCTTCTCCAAATGTTTGATTCTCAAAAATAATTCCTCATAAGTAGGTTCTCTCGTTTTCATCCTCTTTTTCTCTTCACCATCTTCTTGATCCTCTTCAGTCATAGCTTCTCTCTTTTTCTTCCTTATTTTCTCTCCACGAACTCTTCCGTCGGTTTTTTCCTTATTGACGCTTTTCAAACCATGATCGACCCAAGTAACAGCTCCCAAACCTCCTTCTTTGCATATGGCTTGCATAAGAGCGTCAATTTTCTCATCCACTCCTTCTTTATCCCAAACAGGTGGCTTTGACTTATTGATGAAAACATTCTTAATGATTTCCTACATATTTCAAGGTAAAATCAACATCTTTCAAAGGTAAAATGATCAAAATTGAAAACGAAAGTGAAAACAACATCTTTCACGGCAAAACAAATTGAATTAACACAAACACAAACATAAGAAACAGCCCACATACCTTATCATCAGCTAAGATCTTATCAATGTCGATATCCTTTTTCCCATACGATTTTTGGCCATTGAACTTCAGAAGAGGAGGACTTTTAGTACCTGAAAGATTACCAATCTTTACTCCGAGACTAGGAGAAAGATTGTATATCCATATTTGAAATACTTGTATGAACCCATGTATTGTGATTGACCCTCGCTCCAAAGCTGCACTGAATTAATCAGAGTCTCAAAAGTCAATTTGCCCCAAGGATAACCCTCAAAATTGGGCAAATCAATGACCATACGAGCTCGATTACATAGCGGTTTTTGGCCATCGTTGCCGATGATGACAGTAGCTAAAATAGACAAATACGCAAAGCGAATTTTGTCGTCGTCGTCTCGCCAACTTGCAACCTGGTCAACCACATTTATCAGATCATCCCTACTTGGGTTCTCACTTTCCTTGATTCCTATCTTTGTCCACAGCTCTTTATGCACATGTGTCATCACATCTATTTCCTTGTCATCAGGTAAAGGTGCACAGTTAAGACCCGTTATGTTTTCAAACTCTGACAGGGAAAACCGAACCGGTGTACCACCGAACAAACACCACATCTCGTAATATTTCTCGCAGACAAGTTGCTTCACAAGCAGGTTTTCGACAACCTTAGACGACCATTTGAAATTATTGACTACGAACCGTGCAATTACCCCCAATGAAGAATTACAAATGTGGTTCTACACTTTTGGTCCAACAGCATTTTCCACCTTTTGCAGAAATTTAATCTTGCTATGGTAGTTGATGCTTCTAACAAACTCCGGTTCACAACCAAGTGAAAATAACCGCAAGGGAAATCCCAAATCCAGATTTGTTTTAGTCGACACCCTGAAAACCATGAAAAACCAAGATACAAAAATTAAAAAAATGAAAAAGAAAAAACAAAACCAAAACTTAATTCTAAAATTGAAAAACACCAAAACTCACTTCTTTATCTGATGATCTCCCGTATCAGTGTCTCTTGATACGGTTACTGGTTCACTGGCCTCAGGATTAGTCCTGGAAAGATGATTCATTATCAATAATACGAAACCAAGGTCAATCATAATTCTAAGCCACAAAGAAAACGTGCAGCCAATAAGCAAGTGTCCTGATAGGATTGGGCCTAAACCAAGTCTAAAACCGAAAAAACACCAAAACTCACTTCTTTATCTGATGATCTCCAGCATCAGTCTCTCCTGATACTGTTGCTAGTTCACTGGCCTCAGGATTAGTCCTGGAAAGATGATTCGTAATTTTAAGCCACAAAGAAAACGTGTAGCCAATAAGCAAGTGTCCTGATAGGATTGGGCCTAAACCAAGTCTAAAACCGAAAAAACACCAAAACTCACTTCTTTATCTGATGTTCTCCAGCATCAGTCTCTCCTGATACTGTTGAAAGGGCTCTTTCCCCGTTGTATGGGTTAAAAAACTCAAATTAAATATCATTGTAAAAGCTTAATTCTAAATTTTAACAACGACGTGTCATCTTGTCTTTACAAGTGTTATTTTGTGTTAACAAATTGTAAAGTACGTTTTTATATATCAACAAAGATATAGTACTTTTTTCAACCTCAACTCTAAAATAATTCAAAACAACTACCCAAACTATTAGATTTGGGCAACTACATTGACTTAAACAAAATTAGTCAACTGTTTGTTTTTGCTTAATTAAACGATATGATAGTCATGAAGGATAACACCGTTTTAGTCATTTGAGTCCATAAACTCAATACATTAACAAGGAAGTGTCATCTTGTCTTTACCAGTGTTATTTTGTGTTAACAAAACATCGTCGTTTTGTTGAGTTTATGGATTCAAATGATCAAAACAACGTCGTTCGATTGAGTTTATAAACTTAAACAATGTCATGTGGTTAAGGTAAATGATACATCGTCGCCATCATGTCGTCTAAGTGAGCGAAAACAAACGCTTGACTAATTTATTTTAAGTTAATGTAGGTTTACACTCAAATCTAATAATCTGTGTAGTTTAGTTAAATTATTTTAGTGTTGGGGTTGAAAAAGGAACTATAACTTTGTTGAGGTATAAAAACGTACTTTACAATATGTTCAGGTTGAAAGGGCTCTTTTCCCGTTGTATGGGTTAAAAAACTCAAATTAAATATCATTGTAAAAGCTTAATTCTAAATTTTAAGTTCTACATTAGTTTTCTGATTTGTTTTTTCTACCGAACAAATTGTAAAGTGCGTTTTTATATATCAACAAAGATACAGTGCTTTTTTCAACCTCAACACTAAAATAATTCAAAACAACTACCCAAACTATTAGATTTGAGCAACTACAGTGACTTAAACAAAATTAGTCAACTGTTTGTTTTTGCTTAATTAAACGATATGATGGTCATGAAGTATAACGTCGTTTTAGTCATTTGAGTCCATACACTCAATACATTAACAACGAAGTGTCATCTTGTCTTTACAAGTGTTATTTTGTGTTAACAAATTGTAAAGTACGTTTTTATATATCAACAAAGATATAGTACTTTTTTCAACCTCAACTCTAAAATAATTCAAAACAACTACCCAAACTATTAGATTTGGGCAACTACATTGACTTAAACAAAATTAGTCAACTGTTTGTTTTTGCTTAATTAAACGATATGATAGTCATGAAGGATAACGCCGTTTTAGTCATTTGAGTCCATAAACTCAATACATTAACAAGGAAGTGTCATCTTGTCTTTACCAGTGTTATTTTGTGTTAACAAAACATCGTCGTTTTGTTGAGTTTATGGATTCAAATGATCAAAACGACGTCGTTCGATTGAGTTTATAAACTTAAACAATGTCATGTGGTTAAGATAAATGATACATCGTCGCCATCATGTCGTCTAAGTGAGCGAAAACAAACGCTTGACTAATTTTGTTTAAGTTAATGTAGGTTTACACTCAAATCTAATAATCTGTGTAGTTTAGTTAAATTATTTTAGTGTTGGGGTTGAAAAAGGAACTATAACTTTGTTGAGGTATAAAAACGTACTTTACAATATGTTCGGGTTGAAAGGGCTCTATCCCCGTTGTATGGGTTAAAAAACTCAAATTAAATATCATTGTAAAAGCTTAATTCTAAATTTAAGTTCTACATTAGTTTTCTGATTTGTTTAAAGATTCATCTTCATTATCTATTTTAGATTATCATCTTATAAGTAATCATTCTCTCATCCTCTTCTACTATATTCATATATCTTTTTTTTTGTTATATGGGTTGAAATCAATAAAAACATTATTGTAAGAATTTGATTCTATTTTTTTCTCATTTTTTTTGTTCCTAACACCATACTAGATTATACCTATTTCTTCTTTAATTTTTCTATTTTTAATTTTGAATTAACATATGTAAAATAAAAGTTTTGATGGCTATAACAAAACTTTTAGGTTTATTGGTGATGGAAAGTTAAAAATATCAATTTTAATCATCACACAAGAAGGGAATGAAGTTGAAAATATCCATCTCCATTATTTACGTTGGATATTTGATTATTTTCTAACATATTAATGTATTTTTTAGTTATGCAATATATAATGAAATAAATAATTCTAATACATTTATCAAATATTTTTTTCTTACCTGTTTCTTATCTCGGATAAATTTTTGTAATTCATTTTCAATATATGTATCATTATATTTAGTTTTTGTGATCCAATAGATAATTATATTAAGATTATTATAATGTTTATTTTAATTAAAATTTGAGGTTTAAGTGTTTTTCAAAAAAAAAAAAAAAAAATTTAAAACAAATTTGGTCCTTAAGATTAAAAAAATATGACATCATATGTTCAATGAAAATTATATTTCGTTAGTAGAAAATTAGAATGAAACATAGCACTCATACTTAAATGAAGTGAAATATAGAAGAAGAAAAACTATAATTAAAAGAACTAGAGAAATATCCGGGCTACGCCCGGTAATATATTTAACGATTGAGATTTTTAGATTAATTAACTAAAGTTTAAATTCAATTTTAGTTATACATTAAAAAGTCATATGATATTGTATTTAACATTTAATATTTATAACATATATGATACTATTGATTTATTCATTCTATATATTTAACAATTGACATTTTTTAAATTAATTAACTTAAGTTTCAATTGAAATTTATTTTTTGTTTGTTATTATTATTCTATATAGTTTTTTTCATCTATATCTTCTCTAATAATTTATTTATTTTGTTAACCATCTCTAATTTATTTGTAGTCGTCTCTCAGAGTTTTTTTTTGTTAACCATCTCTGTTAGATTCAATCATATTATTCTTTATTTTTTATTTTTATAAGGTATTTATTTCATTTTTTCTTTCCTAACTTCCTCTTTATTTCATTTTTTTCTTCTTCCACTTTGACGTTTTGTAGAAGATTTGTTTTTGTGTTTAAACTTATCTAATGTTTCATATCATATTAGATTTGAAAACATAATTTAGAGTGATAATATGAAAATCTTACGCAATGTTGGTCTAAACATGAACAAAATTACTTGTTTTCTGGTTAACAAAAGAAAATCACTTGTTTTCCATGCGATCATTCATAGCGAATGCTTAATCTTTTTTGGTGGTCGAATATTTGGGATTTTAATATTTTGTAAACAACATGTTTGGTCTTTTGTTGCGTCATACTTGCGAATGATTACATAAACAAGTATGTAGCTAAGTTTTTTTTTTTTGAATGAAATTTAGCTCAGTCTTCTTGCGTTCACTATGGTGAGCTTCACCTTATCATCCTTCAATGACCACTCCGTAAATCTGATCATAAATTGATTATCAGACATGGTAATCTTCTTCTTAATAATGATGATATCTTAATTTTTTCTTGATCCTTTAACGCTATTTGGACGTTTATATTTTCTTATATCCTCACACCTATCTGATTTGACCAGTTTATGTTTCTAACATCGTTATCTGTAGTGAATAGTGATCTCAACGGCAAGAGCTTTCCGCTAACACACCACCTCTTTCTCATTATTTGTCACATGATGCAACACTTTATGTTGCTCGCCATGTCTACTTTTTCTTCCTCAAGGCTAATGCATCTTATCCATCTAAGGAACAATCTTTTAGTGCCATATCTTTTGCTCCACCTTCAAAAAAAGTGTGACTAAGTCGATCAATCGCCAATGCAACATCAAGAAAGGAGGGAGTTTAGATTAACAATTACCATAAAGTTCTAGAGCCAGTAATTTTATTTAGGACTTATGGTAGGGTTTTGTATCAAAAACATTCTTAAGGTCTAATATATTATTACCCACCAATCACACCCTTAGTATATATATTTTCACGACGCACATACTTTTTTTTATGATACACATACTTGTGAAATGTTTTCTGCATATTTAACATGTGATAGATGTATGATATATTTAATATTTTAATTTAAATAATTAACCCTAAGACTGCAGAGCAATGTTTTTATACCCGATCCGGATGGTGAACCGGATTACCCTTTAAATCACCGCGTCACTCAGTCAACAGATTCGACCACGGATCAATTAATTTAAAATTAATTTAATGTATTTAATATTTCTATAGATTATATAGTTTTATAAATATAAAAATAAAAATAATGATACCATCGTTCATAACATATGAAGTCTAACAATAACAATAAAATGATTAAAAATTTTAAATCAAACTAAAAGT